CCTGATTTCCACTATTCGGGACCTTTAATATCTTGTGTTCTGAGAACATGGCAACCATGTTCTGTGTATGTTTGGGAGTTGATGGAATATTCTCCTAACCCACAGAACTGGACACATGAATGTTCTTGCAATGTTCCCATGAAATGTGTCTAGAACATTAATATCTTAAATTCTGAGAACATAGTAACCACGTTCTGGGTAAATGCTATTTGACATTAAGGGAATGGTCTCTTGGAAACATTCCTTGTTAGCTGGGATTAGCATGATGACGTCTAGCTAGATGGATAGCTGTCAAATCCTACTTTTGATTTTGTGCAGAATACTTAAATAACTATCTGAACCAATTGTATGTTACACACCTCCCTTAGGCTACGGTCTGCATCCCAACAAGTTGTTTATGGTCAAATATCTCAAACTACCCGCATAAATACCATCTGATCTAGGTGCAGATATTTTACGCACAACAAATGCGTCAAGGCCTCCTCCCTTGCAGCAAAGTGTAGTTGCTGGCTGGGTTGGAAATGGCAGACGCTGTTGTTGTTCTTTTGTGCATAAAGATCTCAATGGAATCCTTTTAGCGTAACGTAATGCTCACCAACTGGATCCAGAATGAATAATGATTTAGAATTATATTCCAACACAAAACGTTTCCATGAACTAGCAAGCCAACAAAACGCAATATTTCCTTGTTCTGGACTGTCTGGTGCTCATTTGATCACAAAATACAAGCAAATTGTTAACGTCTACTCGTGGGTTATGCCAACTGTGTGAAGGAGATTTGTTTTTATGTTAACGCCAGGGTTAACTTTTAGCTAGCCAGTACATTTATATTGTTAGCTAGCTACTTATAATAATAAATAATAATAACGTTACTACTAACTAGCTAATGTTTACAAGCTCATATTTAGCTACTGTATTGGGCTAACAACGATGGCGTGCAATTAGCATTATCTTGCATAACGTTAGCTAACTATCTGTTATTAGCTAGTTAGCTAGCTAAATTTAGCTAGCGAGCTAACATTAGCTCGCTTTATAGCCAAGTATGCTAGCGAGATAGCTAGCTGTGCGTCGCTTGTTATTACTAACAAATTGTGGCATTGCTAGTTAGGTTAATATTTCGATTATCGTGATCAAAGAGGTAACCAAGTGGTGGTAAAGCAAAAATAAAACTAACGTTAAACAAAGAGACCGTGGAGTTGAACGTTAGTCAAAGAAATGGATATGCTTGAATACTGTCATGGTTAGCGAGTTCACTGTCAACCATTTGGGCATTCGCTCTCCTCCGAAACAAAGCAAAGCGAGGCAGCTCAAACTAGATCGGGAAGATTGCATACACATAATCTCATACAGACTCGACGCTAACCCTCCGGAGTGTCTTACGTAAATGACAGACATCTAGGTACGAAATGTTATACTAGTTGTCACATCTGTATACCTTTGTAATGTACCCGCAGATTGTTCTGTGAGAGTCCGATGTAGCTGTATTTATCCTTGGGGCTCCAAGATCGGGGTAAAGGGGTCTCTTCCTCATTCACGGCCGGGTAGAGCCGCTTCAATCGCTCATTTAGCTCGTGTTCTTGGTAATTAAAAGCAGGATCCCCCAACAGCAGACTCCCCGCTCCAAGCTCTGCCATTTTCTGCTAGAGATTATTTTATTTTTGCTTGTTTTCTACTCTACTATGTCAATCCGTTGACACACAGGAGAGAGAACAGTGAGATAGTCAGAGATGATAGCAATGGTGTGATATCCACGGATAACCAAAGCTCTCTACAGTAGGACTGACAGTGGAGTGTGGGTACTGTAGTTGAATACAGGGCTATCCACTAGCAAGATTTTTAGAATCGACTACAGAACCCCCGCTCTCCCCTCTTTGGTCTATTCTTTCCACTTGAGTCCGTGAAAAGGAAGCTAGGAAATGTAGTTTGAGTGGTTGTATACGGTCAAGCCATGTTGAGCTCCCCAGTCCTATTATAGCAGATAGAGGAAAAAATTTTCATTGCAATTCCTCATTCATATTTACAGTTGAAGTCGGAAGTTTACATACACCTTAGCCAAATACATTTAAACTCAGTTTTTCACAATTCCTGACATTTAATCCTAGTACAAATTCCCTGTTTTAGGTCAGTTAGGATCACCACTTTATTTTAAGAATGTGAAATGTCAGAATAATAGTAGAGAGAATGATTTATTTCAGCTTTTATTTCTTTCATCACATTCCCAGTGGGTCAGAAGTTTACATACACTCAATTAGTATTTGGTAACATTGCCTTTAAATTGTTTAACTTGGGTCAAACATTTCGGGTAGCCTTCCAAAAGCTTCCCACAATAAGTTGGGTGAATTTTGGCTGACAGAGCTGGTGTAACTGAGTCACGTTTGTAGGCCTCCTTGCTCGCACATGCTTTTTCAGTTCTGCCCACACATTTTTATAGGATTGAGGTCAGGGCTTTGTGATGGCCACATTCCGATACCTTGATTTTGTTGTCTTTAAGCCATTTTGCCACAACTTTGGAAGTATGCTTGGGGTCATTTTCCATTTGGAAGACCCATTTGTAACCAAGCTTTAACTTCCTGACTGATGTCTTGAGATGTTGCTTCAATATATCCACATAATTTTCCTTCCTCATGATGCCATCTATTTTGTGAAGCACACCAGTCCCTCCTGCAGCAAAGCACCCCCGTGCTTCACGGTTGGGATGGTGTTCTTTGGCTTGCAAGAACCCCCTTTTTCCTCCAAACATAACAATGGTCATTATGGCCAAACAGTTATATTTTTGTTTCATCAGACCAGAGGACATTTCTCCAAAAAGTACGATCTTTGTCCCCATGTGCAGTTGCAAACCGTAGTCTGGCTTTTTTATGGCGGTTTTGGAGCAGTGGCTTCTTCCTTGCTGAGCGGCCTTTCAGGTTATGTCGATATAGGACTCATTTTACTGTGGATATAAATACTTTTGTACCTGTTCCCTCCAGCATCTTCACAAGGTCCTTTGCTGTTGTTCTGGGATTGATTGCACTTTTCGCACCAAAGTACGTTCATCTCTAGGAGACAGAACGCGTCTCCTTCCTGAGCGGTATGACGGCTGCGTGGTCCCATGGTGTTTATACTTACGTACTATTGTTTGTACAGATGAACGTGGTACCTTCAGGCATTTGGAAATTGCTCCCAAGAATGAACCAGACTTGTGGAGGCTACAATTTATTTTCTGAGGTCTTGGCTGATTTCTTTTGATTTTCCCATGATGTCAAGCAAAGAGGCACTGAGTTTGAAGGTAGGCCTTGAAATACATCCACAGGTACACCTCCAATTGACTCAAATGATGTCAATTAGCCTATCAGAAGCTTCTAAGGCCATGACATCACTTTCTGGAATTTTCCAAGCTGTTTAAAGGAACAGTCAATTTAGTGTTTGTAAACTTCTGACCCACTGGAATTGTGATGCAGTTTATAAATTAAATAATCTGTCTCTAAACAATTGTTCGAAATATTACTTGTGTCCTGCACAAAGTAGATGTCCTAACCGACTTGCCAAAACTATAGTTTGTTAACAAGACATTTGTGGAGTGGTTGAAAAACGAGTTTTAATGACTCCAACCTAAGTGTATGTAAACTTCCGACTTAAACTGTACATACAGGCATACATTGTGGCATACATTCAGTATGTTTTTGTGTCTCGAATGGGTCTTAAACTAATAATCCAGATTTTTTAACGCAATGTTTGTGGATAATGTTTGCCAGTCTGTCAGACAGCTGCATCCATTTCAACTCAAGATCATTGAGATGATTCTGAAACAGGCAGTGGTGGAAAAGTACCCAATTGTCATACTTGAGTAAAAGTAAAAGTCTAGAAGTATTTGGTTTAAAATATACTTAAGTATCAAAAGTAAATGTAATTCCTAAAATATACTTAAGTACAAAACTAAAAGTATAAATTATTTCAAATTCCTTATATTAAGCAAACTAGAAGGCACCATATTATTATCATTTTTATTTTTATTTTTTTACGGATAGCCAGGGGCACACTCCAACACTCCGACATCAATTAGAAAAGAAGCATGTGTGTTTAGTGAGTCCGCCAGATCAGAGGCAGTAGGGATGACCAGGGATGTTCTCTTGATCAAGAGAGCAGCAAATATTTAGAAAAATGTTTCAGATGGTGCATACACAGTGGTGGAAAAAGTACCCAATTGTCATACTTGAGTAAAAGTAAAGATACCTTCATAGAAAATGACTCAAGTAAAAGTGAAAGTCACCAAGTAAAATAATACTTATAAATTGGTATGAATTATTTCAAATTCCTTATATTAAGCAAACCAGACGGCACCATTTTCTATTTTTTAATTATTTACGGATGGCCAGGGACACACTCCAACACCTACATAGTTTACAAATGAAGCATGTTTTTAGTGAGTCTTCCATATCAGAGGCAGTAGGGATGACCAGGGATGTTCTCTTGATACCTGAGTGAATTGGAAACGTTTCCTGTCCTTCAAAACATTCAAAATGTAACAAGTACTTTTGGGTGTCAGGGAAAATGTATGGAGTAAAAAGTAAATTATTTTATTTAGGAATGTAGTGAAGTAAAAGTAAATGTTGTCAAAAATATAAATAGTAAAGTACAGATAGCCCAAAAAACTACTTAAGTAGTACTTTAAAGTATTTTTACTTAAGTACTTTACAGCACTGTAAATCATTAAGTCACAGATAAAACATATTTGATTAAGTCCTGAAACAGGTCAAAGTTGTTTACACCTTCTCTCTGGCAAGGTTCTCCAGGGACGCAAAAGTATCTGGCGCGCGATGGTCTGCTATTTGGGGTCCTTCCTGGGTCCTTCATTTCCATGGCAACATTGTGTAAACATAACAATTCGGCCGTGTGTCTGAAGTATTGGTCTGAAGGGAAGCAAATAGCTAACTAGCTAACCTAATTGAAGAGGGATTAAATATTATTAATGTATTTGCTAACTAGCTAGCTCGCTTGTTTTCTGCATCTAAACATAACCGATGTCGACACAGAAATATATTAGATTACCACCTTTATCATCGTTTGAACGGCAAGTGGCTTTGTCCAATTTACAGTAGAGTAGTACGTTAACGTTAACTGAGCTAGCTCACTCAGATAACGTTAGTCTATGACAGTAACGTTACTAAGCGAATCAAATAATAATAATACAAATAATTTATAGTTAGCTGCTTGTTTCCATCTCACTTTCAGACTGTCGTCTGAGTGTCAACATAACGCTGAAAAAAGAACTGGGCGAGAAGTGGCAATTGGCTGTCCTGGCTCATGTAGAGCATCAACCAGAGTAAGATAAGCAGTTAGCTAGCTAGGTTGGATCGTTTGGGACTTATTGATATGCACACAAAGTACACTATTCGTTCCTCTGCTAGCAATTCTTTTTTTTAACGTTTTATCTCACTCCCTGTCAGGTTGGCTGTACCTCAGGCTACCTGTCAACCTGGCCTGCCCATGTCACCTCTCAAGTTATTCAGCAGGGGAGGAGACATACTTCAGGTGGAGAGATCAGGAACCATGGGTATTTAGCAAATTATATGCACTGTAATATGATATAGGGTTAAAGTTGTGGAAGGATTTACTGTGATGGATAATGTGCTACAGATGTGGTGATGAGTTTGGTGGCCCTGTGGGGAAGCCACGATTCCTGGAGCAGCTTGAAAGCTACCTAAAGAAGGAGCTGCAGGCTCTTGACCCACAACGACCAAAAGTCCAGGAGCGCAAACTACAGGTCCCATCCATCTGTCATATAATTTACACGTTATCCATGTAATTTAGGCATTGTTAGAGTGTATTTACCTTACTATAAATAAGGAGTATAGCGTATAGATTCATTTTCACTAGGTTGTCAAGTCACAAAATCTGCCCTCTGTCTACCTGTCATACGCAGGCATACCGGGAGGTCTTTGGCTGTTTCATTGAGGACTTCAAAACGTACAAGCCACTTCTGTGTGCCATAAAAAATGAATATGAAATCACATTAGGTGTGTGGCATTGCAGCATGGAATGTTTGTGATTGTGGCATATAGGCCTATATTGTTATGGTGAATGTGAGTCTGGACAGCAAAACAAGGATGAATGGAAGTATTAGATAGACTTAAAGATGTCATGCTTATAGGATGTTGGATTTGATTGTCTATGACGTCCATTTCTGCAGCATACCTACGGGACCAGATCCGGGAGCTGGAGCCCCTCAGTGCTCGTCTGGTTGTGGTGTCAGAACAGTGTGAGAAGAGGATCCTGGGCCTGCGAGAGGAGGAGAGGGCAGAGATCAGGGCCCTGAAGCAAGAGCGCCAACACCTTCTAAAGGTTATTGAAAACATGAAAGAGACACAAAGTGCCCTGCAGACCCAGGTACAGTGCTTACCCACTAGGCTCAGTCTCAATCACACCAGTGCTGCTATGAAAACACCTAATTAAAGTTATTCTGTCTCATATCAACCATGCATGGGCTGCCTGAACTCTCCTTCATCGCTCTTTCTCTTGTTCTTCTCAGGTGTGTTGTCTGCAGGCAGACCTGGCCGCTCAGTATCTGATGTACAGAGAAGAATGTGATGCTCGCAAGCTGCTCATCGCCAACATCAGCAGCATGAGCTATGGACCAGACGAGGAACCCGAGGAAGAGCAGGAAGGTGGTAAAAAAATATTTAACAATAAAATAATGATTGATCAACTGTCTTGATGTAAGCGAAGTGTGGAGTGTTGTCACCTCTGAAAACCTGTTCCTTTCCATCAGAAGTGGAAATGGAGGACCCAGAGAAGGAGAAATTGGCTCTGAAGGTGTGTCGAGAGGACCTGACTAAAGCCCAGGTGGAGCTAAATCGCTTGCATGCTGAGTATGGAGACGTAGTGCCCCGTCGTGACTGGGAGACGTTGGATTATACCCACAAAGAGAACTTGCTTAAGGTACAGTACAGTGAAATGTTCGATTCAACCACAGCAGACTCACTTCTTCAGACCTGAATGAGTGTTGAATCTCTCTTTGCACCTATCCCAGCTGGAGACCCTGCAGAAAGACTTTGATCAGATGAAGGCTGAATATGACACACTGCTTGAGGTGCACAAGCAAGTCACAACACAGAGGGACAGCCTCCAGGGAGAACTGGAGGGCTTCAAAGAGGCCTCTACCCCCAGGCCAGAATGGGAGCAGTGTGCAGGTATCACATAGAAAAATTGCTCTAGGTTCTGTTTTTTTCCCCTTCACATTTGTGCTATGGTATTGTTGGTAGTAGTGCTTAGAGTTTTGCTTTGTGACTGAATCACTATAAACAATTTTAGATCAGAACATTTACACAGCACTGTGTGATTACAGACGTGCTGGGAGGTAGTGAGAGTTGGGCAGAGCTCTCCCAGGGCCAGTCCAGCCAGCGGCGTCTGGAGATCCTGCTAGCAGAACTGGGAGGAAAGACCTCAGAGTTTTTCACCGGACTGGTAAACCTCCCTCCCTGCCGAACTTTCAAAGTGCCTGAACATCAACAACAACACATTTCCAAAAATAATGGCATGGTCAAAAGGTCTTCACCCTGTTTCCACTCAGGGTACTTCTGAAGATGTGCCCATATATCTGCGCTATGAGGGGCAGTTGAAGAAACATAGGCTAAAGAAGGCTGATGTTGTGAGAATCCTCAAGGAGGTTTGGAAGGAGAAGGTCATTGAGGATGAAAGGGTAAACTGATACCTTTCTTTTTTCAAATAATCAGTTAATATTTCATACACCGTTTGACTCTGATATTTCTTCTACTTGTATTTCTCTTAAGAGAGATGAAAGCAGCAATCTTCCCGAGTTTCTGCGGCAACATCTGGAGAGCCAATATGGGGAAAAGGCTGGGGAGTGGGCTTATAGCTTAGTAGAGGGCATTCGTCAACACCAAAAGGATGACCCTGTCAGCCTCTTCAATGACATTCTCACAGGAAAGGTGTGTGATCTTGCAAATGTGTTATACAGAGCTCTTCCTATGAGTTTGAGAAAGGATTGTGCATGATTTGATTATTATAAATGTATTGTTAACAGGTGGATGAGAGTGTGTACCATGGTCAGACACATCTACTGTCTAACCTGCTGAAAGTGTTGATCCACAGTGACAGTACAGAGAGTGGGATGCTCAGTGTTCAGGATTTCAGGTAATGCAGATAATCAAATTACAGTACAGATTAAAGTCACAAACATTACGATTATGACAGTGAGTGGGCTTTATAAAATGGCCTCTGTTTTGCAGAGATTACTTGAAAATGGCTTTCCCTCTGAAAAGAGAGCAAGACATTGATGAGCTAGTGACCACAGCTCAGGCCGAGCTAGACAACAATGGTGAAAGCCTCCCATACCAAAGACTGTATACAGAGGTAGCTTTTGTGGTCTCAGTCCAAAGTTTCACACCTCAGTCCACATAATTTCATGATCCCGTTTTGATAGAGGTATACCAGCCATATTCAATAGGCGGACCATGGTCCGGAAATTTCAGGGATCGGACCTTCTCAAAAAGTATTTAAGTACCCTTGATGTATACAATAGCATCAATGTATGCTGTTTATAAAATAGTAATATACTACCACACTGAAACACAACCTTCACAAGACAATATAGACAGTACATATAGTACAGTGCATTCAGAAAGTATTCAGACCCCTTGACTTTTCCACATTTTGTTATGTAACAGCCTTATTCTAAAATTGATTAAATTATTTTTTCCCCTCAATCTACACACAATACCCCATAATGACAAAGTGAAAACAGGTTTAGAAATGTTTGCAAATGTATTAAAAATTAAAAACAAATAACTTATTTACATAAGTATTCAGAACCTTTGCTATGAGACACAAAATTGAGCTCAGGTGCATCCTGTTTCCATTGATCACCCTTGAGATGTTTCTACAACTTGGTTGGAGTCCACCTGTGGTCAATTCAATTGATTGGACATGATTTGGAAAGGCACACACCTGTCTATATAATATTTTACATGTACATTTTTTAGTCATTTAGCAGACGCTCTTATCCAGAGCGACTTACATTATTGAGTGCATACATTCTTTTTGTATTATTTTTTTTTTCATACTGGCTCCCCCTGGGAATCAAACCCACAACCCTGGCGTTGCAAACGCCATGCTCTATCAACTGAGCTACATCCCTGCCGGCCATTCCCTCCCCTACCCTGGACGACGCTGTGCCAATTGTGCGCCACCCCATATAAGGTCCCACAGTTGACAGTGCATGTCAGAGCAAAAACCAAACCATGAGGTCGAAGGAATTGTCCGTAGAGCTCCGAGACAGGATTGTCCGTAGAGCTACGAGACAGGATTGCGTCAAGGCACAGATCTGGGGAAGGGTACCAACAGATTTCTGCAGCATTGAAGGTCCCCAAGAACACAGTGGCCTCCATCATTCTTAAATTTAAGAAGTTTGGAACTACCAAGACTGTTCCTAGAGCTGGCCGCCTTGCCAAACTGAGCAATCGAGGGAGAAGGGTCTTGGTCAGGGAGAGGGAGAGGGAGAAGGGTCTTGGTCACTCTGACAGAGCTCCAGAGTTCCTCTGTGGAGATGGGAGAACCTTCCAGAAGGACAACCGTCTCTGCAGCACTCCACCAAATCAGGCCTTTATGGTAGAGTGGCTAGACAGAAGCCACTCCTCAGTAAAAGGCACATGACAGTCCGCTTCAGTTTGCCAAAAGGCACCTAAAGGACTCACCATGAGAAACAAGATTTTCTGGTCTGATGAAATCAAAATTGAACTCTTTGGCCTGAATGCCAAAGGTCACGTCTGGAGGAAACCTGGCACCATCCCTGTGGTGAAGCATGGTGGTGGCAGCATCATGCTGTGGGGATGTTTTTCAGCGGCAGGGACTGGGAGACTAGTCAGGATCAATGAAAGATGAACGGAGCAAAGTACAGAGAGATCCTTGATGAAAACCTGCTCCAGAGCGCTCAGACTGGGGCTAAGGTTCACCTTCCAACAGGACAACGACCCTAAGCACACAGCCAAGACAACGCAGGAGTGGCTTCGGGACAAGTCTCTGAATGTCCTTGAGTGGCCCAGCCAGAGCCCAGACTTGAACCCAGTCTAACATCTCTGGAGAGACCTGAAAATAGCTGTTCAGCAACACTCCCCATCCAACCTGACAGAGCTTGAGAGGATCTACAGGTGTGCCACGCTTGTAGCGTCATACCAAAGAAGACTCAAGGCTGTAATTTCTGCCAAAGGTGCTTCAACAAAGTACTGAGTAAAGTGGACTGAATACTTATGTAAATGTGAAATGTCCGTTTATTGATTTATAAAATGTGAAAAAAATATATAAAAACCTGTTTTTGCTTCGTCATTATGGGGTATTGTGTGTAGTTTGATGTGGGTGGGGGGGACTATTTAATCCATTTTTGAATAAGGCTGTAACATAACAAAATGTGGAAAAAGTAAAGGGGTCTGAATACTTTCAGAATGCACTGTAGGCTGCCATTACCATCACCTGTGGCAAAGACGTGGTGCTATGTCCTATGTAGGATGCAGATGGGAAACACAAAGACTTTCTGAATCTGGTGAAGAAGCAGGCCTCCACAGAGAGGCACATGTACATCGCCCAACTGAGGACTCAGCTGGGAGGCAAAGGGTAAGAGAAGCATATACACCATGTAGGGCGGCAGGTAGCCTAGCAGTTAAGAGCCGACTAGGGGAAAAATCTGCCTTAGTCGCTTTGGATAAGAGCGTCTGCTAAGTGACGTAAATGTACACAGATCAACATTTGCACAAGTAATACCCTTGTTTCATTGTTGTTTGAAAAGTGTAAACCGTTTTGAAAGGATAATCAGGGGCATTGTGTTTTTGATTCAGAGAGGTGACTGTGGCCGATCTAAGTGCTGCCTTTAAGAACATTGACCCCTCTCAGGACGCTACCACACTGGACTGGGTCATAACTATGGCATTCCAGATACCCCAGGAGGAGCTAGAGCAGCACACAACACAAATGGACACAGAGCTGGCCCTGCAGCGCCTCCTGGCAGTGGATGTGACCAGGGCTGGGCCTGCACCACAACAGGACTGAATCACTCTAAGCACTTTTAGAATGTGGTAGCCGTCAGGCATCTAACTGCATGTTTCTTTGCTATCATTACGGCCTGCGAACTCATTATATATTTTATTAAACATTAAACAAACACTTAAACCAACTGTTGTTACTGAAATTATCTGTAAGTCAAATGTGTTTCACACAGTCATTTATTATCAGTGTCAGAAATGCAGTGTTTACGTAACAACATTAGCATTCCAAAGTTGAGCTGTCACATTCTACTCTGGTGATCGAGCAGCCAGGCTAGCAAATTGTTCACCGGAGCAGTGTGTGGATACTCAATTCAAACTTCTGTTTACAGTAACACACAGTGCCATTAGAACTGTGCCATCTTGTGGATGTCCGCATGTAAAATCATGTGTAGTTTTGAACCATGGCCATTCTACCCATCCTTGTCATTTCCACAACAAATGTAGTTTACCGTCATCAAAGTGGGCTGATTAAGAGGTACTATAATAATAATAATATAATATGCCATTTAGCAGACGCTTTTATCCAAAGCGACTTACAGTCATGCGAGCATACATTTTTTTTTTTTTTGTGTGTATGGGTGGTCCCGGTGATCGAACCCACTACCTTGGCGTTACAAGCGCCGTGCTCTACCAGCTGAGCTACAGAGGACCTATAGTAGCTACTATGTTTTTGTCTGCTGAGGGTTTCGTGTAGGTGGAAAAACCTACCAGCAGTATAGATTGAAGAACTTCATTTCCCACATAGCATAAGAACAGATGAGCATGCGCCTAAACTGGTGTAATCGCCATAACTGGGAGCCGGGGAAGGGTTTTGGGTTCGCGGTAAGTAGTTTTTCTAAAAAACGTCATTCTATATTAAATTGAAACATGTTTTGTCTTCTAGCAACAACCGTATCGTATTATGTTTGAGAATTGATAAGTTTATATACCTTTTTGACAGGCGGTGGCTCGCCAAAAGTGATAGCTAGGACACGCCTATGTTCTGTCTGGGCCCAGTCGAAAGAGTATGTTGAGTAACGGTTAGTGTATTTTAAGCAGCCGATAGTGCGAAAGCACGTGCCATACCATTTGTATATCTAGCATTCACTGAAGATTGTATTTGCTCGACCTGTGTAATTGTATTTTATTAGCTAAGCAATACGGTACATCTAGCTAGTCAGACAACCAACCAACGTTTGATCTTTGATATTAGCCTTGCCTATGCTAGCTAGCTCAGCCAAAGTCAAAGAACGAGTCCAACATGAGTGAGCGGACTGTGTAAGTAGCTAGCATTCAGCTGACTAACATTTTACGTTTGCTATAGTAGCTAGCTACTATATCTGGTATAACTTGGTAACGTTAACTGGGTTAGCTAGCTAGTAGCGAACTTCTCTTTGAAATCTCAAACGACAAGATTGGATATAACGTTTTGCAATTATAGTCCAAGGGATGATTTATAAACGACTATTTGCTAGGTTTATGTGAATAACTGAGGTAGCTAGGTATGCAATCTTCGTAGAAAGTTATCGTGCGTTGGGGGGGGGTCACGTGAGATGCAGTGACGCGGTCACAGACAGTGCACTGTTCAGAACAAAACAAGACTAACTAACTAGCTAGCTAGCATTGTCAGAATAGGTAACACCATAATTTGGGTGTAACTGTTGCTATACTATGGCCCTTGGTGGTATTTGCTAAATTGTGCTAAAGTAGTGCGCGTAGTTTGCTTGCTCTGCCAATGAAGCATATTCTTATCCTATCAGCTGTCTCTGTTTTCTGAAAAAGCCCCAAAGAAGAATACTCTACAGTGCTCCATTTAGTCAATGCATGTATTATTGGTGCTGTTAATGTAATGTTGAAGCACTGAATTCCAAAATGTATTTCCTATACTGAACAAAAATATAGATGCAACATGTAAAGTCTTGGTCCCATGTTTCATGAGCTGAAATAAAAGATCCACAAAAAGCTTACTTCTCTTAAATTTTGTGCACAAATTTGTTTACATCCCTGTTAGTGAGCATTTCGCCTTTGCCAAGATAATCCATCCACCTGACAGGTGTGGCATATTAATAAGCTGATTAAACAGCATGATCATTACACAGGTGCACCTTGTACTGGGGACAATAAAAGGCCACTCTCAAATGTGCAGTTTTGTCACACAAGACAATGCCACAGATGTTTTGAGGGGGCGTGCAACTGGCATGCTGACTAGAATGTCCACCAGAGCTGTTGTCAGAGAATTTAATGTTAATTTCTCTACCATAAGCCGCCTCCGTCATTTTCACAGACCACGTGTAACCACGCCAGCCCAGGATTCCAAATCTGGTTTCTTCACCTGAGGGATCATCTGAGACCAGCCACCGGGCAGCTGATGAAACTGTGGGTTTGTACAACTGAAGAATTTCTGCACAAACTGTCAGAAACCGTCTCAGGGAAGCTCATCTGTGTGCTCGTTGTCCTCACCAGGGTCTTGACCTGATTGCAGTTTGGCGTTGTAACCAACTTCAGTGGGCAAATGCTCACCCTTGATGACCACTGGCACGCTGGAGAAGTGTGCTCTTCGTGGATAAATCCCGGTTTCAACTGTACCGTGCAGATGGCAGACAGCGTGCATGGGGTTGTGTGGGCGAGCAGTTTGTTGATGTTAACGTTGTGAACAGAGTGCCCCATGGTGGCGGTGGGGTTATGGTATGGGCAGGCATAAGCTACGGATAACGAACACAATTGCATTTTATCGATGGCAATTTGAATGCACAGAGATACTGTGACGAGATCCTGAGGCCCATTGTCATGCCATTCATCCGCCGCCCTCACCTCCTGTTTCAGCATGATACTGCACAGCCCCAGGTCGCAAGGTTCTGTACACAATTCCTGAAAGCTGAAAATGTCCCAGTTCTTCCATGGCCTGCATACTCACCAGACGTCACCCATTGAGAATGTTTGGGATGCTGTGGATCGACGTATATGACAGCGTGTTCCAGTTCCTGCCAATATCCAGCAACTTCGCACAGCCATTGAAGAGTGGGACAACATTCCACAGGCCACAATCAACCGCCTGATCAACTCTGCGAAGGAGATGTCGCGCTGCATGAGGCAAATAATGGTCACACCAAATACTGACTGTTTTTTTTTTCATTCAAGGTATCTGTGACCAACAGATGCATATCTGTATTCCCAGATGTGAAATCCATAGATTAGGGCCTAATGACTTCATTTCAATTGTCCCAGAAACCCTAGACCCACTCCAATTTGCATATCGCCCCAACAGATCCACAGATGATGCAATCTCTATTGCGCACCACACTGCCCTTTTACACCTGGACAAAAGGAACACCTATGTGAGAATGCTATTCATTGACTACAGCTCAGCTTTCAACACCAGTGCCCTCAAAGCTCATCACTAAGCTAAGGACCCTGGGACTAAACACCTCCCTCTGCAACTGGATCCTGGACTTCCTGACGGGCCGCCCCCAGGTGGTAAGGGTAAATAACAACACATCCGCCACGCTGATCCTCAACACGGGGGCCCCTCAGGGGTGCGTGCTCAGTCCACTCCTGTACTCCCTGTTCACTCATGACTGCATGGCCAGGCACGATTCCAACACCATCATTATGTTTGCTCATGACACAACAGTGGTAGGCCTGATCACCGACAACAACGAGACAGCCTATAGGGAGGAGGTCAGAGACTTGGCCGTGTGGTGCCAGGACAACAACCTCTCCCTCAACGTGATCAAGACAAAGGAGATGATTGTGGACCACAGGAAAAAGAAGCGGACCGAGCACTCCCCATTTTCATTGACAGGGCTGTAGTGGAGCAGGTTGAGAGCTTCAAGTTCCTTGGTGTCCACATCACCAACAAACTATCATGGTCCAAACACACCAAGACAGCTGTGAAGAGGGCACAACAAAGCCTATTTCCCCCTCAGGAGACTGAAAAGATTTGGCATGGGTCCTCAGATCCTCAAAAGGTTCTACAGCTGCACCATCAAGAGCATCCTGACTGGTTGCATCACTGCCTGGTATGGCAACTGCTCGGCCTCTGACCGCAAGGCACTTTTGCCCCTAAAGTACAAACCCCACAAGCGCTACCTGGTCTTTTTTGCCCAGATTTCTTGAGTTTAGTCCATGTCATCCACACCACTAGGACTGTACACTCATAAGATTGTCTCTTCCACTTGAGCTTGTTTCCAGGTGATTCAGAATGGGGGAAAAGCCGATTTGGGAACAGATAGGATCCAGCTTTGTGCAACATTACTACCAGCTCTTTGACACTGACAGGACACAGCTTGGAGCAATATATGTGAGTGGATCTGTCTGTACCAATGAACATTAATCATAGTTCTGCTTTCTTGTGTCCTGTTCTCACCACTGCAGTCTTCACCCCCTTGCATTTATTCCACCATCACTTTTCAACTGTCTAACCACCTCTGCATCTTATAACTAATTCAGTAATGATTTTCAACAATGAATTGGATATTTGTTAATGTAATGTTCAGTCATTTTTCAAATAGAAAAGTAGTGCGTCATACAGTATCTCCAGTCCTGTGAGCAAATGCTCCCTGATAATTCCATCCCAAACACTAACCAAGGGAAAGATTGTTGAATCAATACATGTTCCGTAGTCTTTTTTTAATTTAATTTAAATATTTAAAAAAAAATAATAATAATTTGGGGGGTTCCGTAGTCTTGCCCTATTTCAATGTTACTGTTCAAACCGTTACCGGTACTTGGTTTATGTGTTTGAGACTGATCCTAGATCAAATAAGTTTTGAAAAAGCATTCATCTGAGGAACGTTTTGGGCCAAAGAAGTATCAAGTTAGACTGTGGGACATGCAAATATGCATACTACTTTGACACTTACAAGCTAAAGCATAATATATTTCAATAAGAGGTACAATAGACAGCATATAGTTACTTATTTTAAGCTGTTCAAATAATTGTAATGTCCATTTATCAATCATGAGAACAAGCAAGTTGTTGATTGTGCCCTTTTCTTTACATTCAGCTTAGTTAGCATTCTTGAGGCAAGGTATTGTTTGTGAGCCCCCTATTGGTAGCACAATTTATATTTTTAGATGGGAGGAGAACTGCACAAACTATGACTCATTTACATTATTATACAAATCTATTACTGAAAGGCTTCTGGCAACTATTTTGCCCTCCAAACAATTATATTTTCATCAAATAATAAGATAAGAGCAGCAGAGCCCATTCTTCTATTCTTCTTCCACATGGTACTTGACTAAATAGTTGCATATTCCCTCACCCTCTCATACCCTAACTTGAGTATGCGTAGAAAAGTTAGTCATTAATAAAACAGATACCTCACATCCTTCCACCCTATACCACCAATGTGCCTTCTCCCCCCTGACAAACTCAAACCTCTGCTTTTCCTTTTTACAGATCGATGCATCATGCCTTACGTGGGAGGGACAGCAATTCCAGGGAAAAGCAGCGATTGTGGAGAAACTTTCTGTGAGTGACATTTTAAAATATACCTGAGCATGACAGAATGGAATGTGTCAATAGTATGTCAGGAGTGCACTGATTGAACAGGATATATTGGTGGAATGTGCTTGTCTCGGATACATCTGTTTCTTATTTCTTCTTTTCAGACTCTCCCCTTCTTAAAAATAGCTCACAGTATAACAGCACAAGACCACCAGCCCACCCCTGACAGCTGTATAATGAGTATGGTAGTAGGACAACTAAAAGTAAGTATTTCTCATTCTATTACTGTAAAAATGATTATTGCCAGTTTCTTAAACTAACAACTGAATAGCTTACAGACTAGAAATCCCCACCTGCTTTGAAAATTACTATTTGTTTCAACCGTTTTAAATGAAGAGTCAGGGTTGTGTCTGTTGGATGAAACTGTGTTGTACCTAGCTGTGCTTTTTAACATCTGTTTTCAGCTTCACAGTTTCAAGCCCTTTGTTCACCAAGTTGATATAACTAGCTATGCTTTTATTCATCTGCCTAAGCAAATAGACAGAATAAGCCATGGACCAAGCCTTCCTATGTTAGGAAAAACAAGGGTATGTGTGTGTGAGGTAGGTGAGTAGTTTGTACATTAGAAGTCAGGGCTATTGTATTTTGTCTGTCTCTCAGGCAGATGATGACCAGGTCCTGGGCTTCCAGCAGACCTTTTTGCTGAAAAATTACAGCAATGCCTGGGTTTGCACCAACGAATTCTTCAGGCTTGCCCTGCACAACCTTTGACCTATCTGTGGTCTTATTACCCATCTTCCCCCTACTTACTGTCAGTAAGGATCTGTGTTCTGAGTGACCATGGTTCAGTTGGGCTTTTACTAATCTCACGCCATAGAGGATTCTTCCATACTGGAGTTTGGTAATGAGAGACCACAGTGCGTTCAGGGCGCTAAAAATGTAATCTATTCACCAGTTTTTCCCTCTCTGCTTAAAGACATGCTCTGGTACTTTGGCGACTAGTACGTATTTTTTAAACCTCCCTCTTTGGGCTGGACGTGTCAATGTGTAGTTCATACATGCATAATCTATGAGCATAATTACTGTCTTACCGCAATTGGCCACAAAATACCTAGTTTGAAAGCAGCTGTTTTCTGGAAACTGCTGCGCCATTTTTCCTACATTTCTCCCCACGTGGGCCAGCCCCCTAGCAATTTGAGTTCCAGACGATGAGATTCAGCCCTTTGCCATTTGAGTGACAGCTACCCAGAATCACAAACAGCAGAGCGAGAGAGAGCAATGACGTGGTGCACATATGTGATGTAGTACGCAATTTTCAGGACCACTTTTGGCTCATGGGTGCTACTTTCAGAACTACTGGCTAAAAAGTATACAAAGTACAGGAGAATCTCTTTTTAAAGAGAGGGGAATTGCACTATAAACTGGGACAAACAATTGGTTTGTTGAATCTGAACCTAGATAATAGTGAAGGCTGGCTTGTTTGACAAATTATCGCAAACACAGTAATGGCATTATATGTAAGCTCTGATCTTCACTGTGGACCTTGATCTTGCAAGCTGCTTTTTAGAACAGTAATGTGTCATTTGAAGATGCCAATGCTGTCATGATCACTGAGCAGTTACCCTTACGGAGTTGTGTAAGCCTTGTCTCCATTGACACCTAAAGAGATGACCTGCTTTTTGTCCGTGGCTCTATCTCCATTAGTGCCTGTTCATACCTGCTTGTGCACTGTTTAGCTAGAAAATTGGGGTTTGCCACAAGCCTATTGATTGTATAAGTTAATGGATAGAGGGGTATAACAGGAATGTGTGTTGTGTGCAGGCAGTTTGTCGCTTCGACCCAGCCAGAATCAACTATTGTCAGAGATGCACCCAACTGTGGATTGGATTCACTGTCATATAACTGTGACTTTACTGAGCTCTGTCTTTGTGTTACAGGCTGATGAGGACCCAATCATGGGATTTCATCAGAGTTTCATCCTGAAGAACATTAATGATGCCTGGGTATGCACCAATGACATGTTCCGGCTCGCGCTGCACAATTTCGGCTAAGGACACCAGAGGTGGGCAGGGGGGATGTGAGGGAAGGCTGAGGATGGGGGAAGTCTTGCAGCGACACCTAAACGCCCAACCTCCTCTCTGCATCATCCATACCTGTTTGAGAAATTACACCGGATTCCAGATGTCAATCACAGAGACATGCAGGCACATAGGCTACATGCCTCCAACTGAAATGAGATCTGTTCCTTTGCTGAGAGTTCGCCGATCCATCAGAGTCCCTTTCCATATGCTGACCTGCATGATGCTGGGGAGCTTAAATATCTGAAGATGCCAATTTACCTGCGCCGTTTTAGTTTTATGTTCGGACTCAATGTCTTATATCCTCTTGTTTTCTCATCGTACTCACCTGTGTGTTATCAGCTTGTCTTATTGTATACAACTAAATCTCTTTTTAAAAGTTTAATTTAACATTCATTGTCATGTCAGGTTGCTCTAGCGATCCAAAGAATCATAGAAAATATTATCAATAACACACCCTTCCCTCAGACCAGCAAGCTTCCCATTTCCTGCTCATGCTCTCTGTGACAATGAATACTAAAGCCATGATACACAAACCGTTTACTTTTTCTTAATGATGTGAGCTCTTGTTCCTCTGCGTTTCTACCAAGTTCTCTCCCTCCACTTCACCACCTCCTCACTCTTATTTTAATTGTGTTCTTAGCCTTATATTGTAAACAATTTAGGTTCTAGTCAGTAGTTCTATAGCACATTTATTTATGATCTGCTATATCACTTATTTTCTTTAGCAAGATGCCAAGATATTGTTAGATATATGGACATAGGGTTCCCTCAATTTTTTCAAAAACATAGTTTTCTTTTGGCCAATACTGCAGAAATAGACCCCCATAATGAGTTTTAGTATGCTCTTGGAAATTGGGAGCACTTTGTGCCATCAAAGTACTGTAGCATTGACCTGACATTTTTGGAGAGGCTTTGCAGGTGTTCTTTTGCAAGAGGAGGAACAGGCATATGTCAAACTATGCCTTTTTTATTTCCTTTTTTTGTTACAATGATTATGGTTATATATAATGTAATCTCTTTGCCACATGGGACAGAATGTACGGACTGCACATTTGAATTCCATACATTGTTTTGGAAAATAAAGAAACAGTTCTTGCCTGTTGTGTGACAAGGAAATCCCAAAGACTTTTCCTGCAGGAAAAGTAAAGTGGCAGTGGGGGACACTTCTCTCATACTATCATGTTTTTTTTAACAGTAAAAGTAGACTAGTAATGGAGTTTCTTTTTTTCTATTTAGATTTGATTTACAGTTTAATTATCTATTGTTACCATTGTTTGCTGTCAATCAATGACTTGCATAACTAATGCTTTTCCTCCCTCATCAGCCAGTGTGTTGGCTACTGGTTTATTGTTTTCCCTGATGGTACACTGGTTCATTGAAGAAGATTAAAAGCATCTCTTCAAGGTCTGCTATCATTCACAGACGTACAAGGTATTCTATTATTGTGGCAGACAGAAATAAAAGAATTATGAAAAGTATGACTTTTATTGTGTTTATTGGTTTTCAGCAGGGTTCAAGAAGGGGTTCGGCATATTTGAGATGGGCACAACACATTTTTCTTGGTTTATCATGCTGTTTTCTGTGGATGGAATCTGAATGGATTTTCTATATGACATAGCTTTATTTTATTAGTGCCGTTGGGTTGGGGAATGCATGAACACCTAGTTTGTGGCGTTGGGCAACGAACCATGTTAAAGAAAACAGCAAGAATAATTGTGCACATTTTCGCCATAATTACTCAATTAACAAAGTATACAGGATGGGACTCTTATTCTGAAGGAGTCCAAAAATCCGTGACCCAGAAGTGCTTCGTTATTCTTGCCTGCTTCACAGAACTGACAGCATAGAAGGAAAATATAAATAATTTTGCTCCCTCTGACGAATCCGTTTCCCCCCTATCCCTTACCTATGGCTTCAAATTCAAACATAGATATAGAGGGTGCAACCCAGCATCTTCGTGACATATTAAAGTTGGACAGACCCGGGAACAACGTCGGTAAGTTTACCGGGAATGAAAAGGTGGATAAGGGCTTTTAGGCCGCATTACAAGCTAATTCTACTAGCTAGTTAGCTACCTAGCCATTTACAAAGTTCTACCTAGTTAGCGTGCTAGCAAACGTTAGGGATGAACGCTGCAAAATGCAAGCTAGCTGAGCATGTTCACATTCGTAGCTAGCTAGTTAACGTTAATTACTTGTGAAAATGTGGCTTAAGTTAGTTAGCTTACGTTTGCTAATTTACAACTTGCGAACATATTAGTTAGCTGGACTGCTAGCTAGGCTAGTTCAGCTAGCAAGCTGACAAAGGTTGCTCGCAGTAACTAGTTAGTTATTAAAATAACTAGCTAGCTAACTTACAACATTAGTGTTTAATACACAAGTTGCAACAAGGCTAGCTTGCAAAACCATGCTAGGTAATTAGCTACCTAGTTATAAAGCAAAGTAGTTAACAACGTTAAAGGATGTTGTCTAACTTAACGTTAGATAGCTAACTAACATTACTAACTAAACTAACTAACATTACTAACTACAGGTTGGCTGATTGCTTGCTTGGTAGTTTGTAATACAACGTTATTTATCAAACTAGCGTACTATGTATAGCTGGTTAGCATGTGAATAGTGCGCATAGGCTTAGTAAATGATGAGTAAATGGCTAGGTAGCTAATTAGGCAGCAGGTACCAATCATGCGGCATGAGGTTGCCTAGTTTATTTGGAGGCGATGAAATATCAGTCCTCGAAGCTCAGCATTAAGAAAGGGTTTTTTGGTGGCATCTAAAATTACACGAGATTCCCTTTCTCCCCAAAAATGTACGTTGTAACAATAGGGTTTTTAAATAGTTATCATAATCTTAGTTTGGTGATATCCAGTTACTCACAGTTGGTTGTTTCCGTAGACGCATCTCCATGTGAGAACCAAAGAAAAACATCTTTCAATGGCGAATTGAATGGACGTCTGCCGGGAGCTGGCAACAGGTCAACCATGGCTGAATCCACAGACCCTAATTCAGATAATATGAACACCCAAGAGGGTCAGATAATGTAAGTAATAACGTTACCTCTTCTTTATTCTGTTGTATTTTTCTCTGCCTACACATATTTCTCAGATATAGAAATGCACATTTGGTATGCTGTGAGAAACCATTTGGGTTGATTGAATGTTGAAACCAATGTCTTCCTCTTCACCATATTGAGCACCACCTAACCCAAACCTGTACCTTACCCTAAACCGGGTTCGTATTCTAACCCCAATCATGTCCCTTACCCTAAACCGGGTTTGTATCCAAACCCTACCCTCCCCTTACACTGATATGTCACTGTTTCCCTTCCTTGAGCTCACCCCTTGCATTGTTCATGTTGTTGTTTAGTCTGTTTTTTCAAGGCCTGTTTTTTTTCTTTCTACAAGTGACTTTGAGACCTTGAAAAGCACTATATTATAAGTCCCATGTAGTATTATTATTAATTATGTTCCATCTAGATCTCTTCAGGAGATCAAGTACCCAGTTTGGAAACATTGTATTTTGTTTCTTCACCAGCTGCCTCTCTGGGGATGATGGCTCCACTTGCATTCCCATCACATCCAACAATGTTGAAATTGTAGCCAGTCGAGACTCAAGCATTGACAGCAAGGCCCGTGGCAGCAACAAGGTAAGACTTAGAGGAATGAAGACCCAGTGCAGTCAATTCTATTTTTCTTGTGTTTTGTATCATATTTGTGCAATAGCTGATGAAACTAACACTGTAAAAGTGTCTACATGTTAATGTTTTTAAATTGTAAAGTATTTTTGTCAGTAATGTATTTTTCATTGTGTCGGACCCCAGTAAAACTAGCTGTTGCCATTGGCGTCGGCTAATGGGGATTCTAATAAAAAGAACAAAAATGTACTCATCAGACAGTACTAGCAACATTTTTTGCTTGAATGTTTTTGCTAAATACATTTTGATAATGTTTTCCCCCATTTTAAATGGAAAACAATTACACTGAGTTACACTACATGGCCAAAAGTATGTGGACACCTGCTCGTCGAACATCTCATTCCAGAATCATGGGCATTAATATGGAGTTGATCCCCCCCTTTGCTGCTGTAACAGCCTCCAGTCTTCTGGGAAGGCTTTCCACTAGATGTTGGAACATTGCTGCGTGGACTTGCTTCCATTCAACCACAAGAGCATTAGTGAGGTCGGGCACTGATGTTGGGCGATTAGGCCTGGCTCGATTAGACCATTATTCCTCCTCCACCAAACTTTACAGGTGGCACTATGCATTCGGGCAGGTAGCATTCTCCTGGCATCCGTCAAACCCAGATTTGTCAATCGGACTGCCAGATGGTGAAGCGTGATTCATCATTCCAGAGAACGTGTTTCCACTGCTCCAGAGTCCAATGGCGGCGAGTTTGACACCACTCCAGCCGACGCTTGGCATTGCGCATGGTGATCTTAGGCTTGTGTGCGGCTGCTCGGCCATGGAAACCCATTTCATGAAGCTCCCGACGAACATTTCTTGTGCTGACGTTGCTTCCAGAGGCAGTTTGGAACTCGATCATGAGTGTTGCAACCGAGGAGAGACCATTATTACGCGCTACACGTTTCAGCACTCGGCAGTCCCGTTCTGTGAGCTTGTGTGGCCTACCACTTCACGGCTGAGCCGTTGTTGCTCCTAGACGTTTCCACTTCACAATAATAGCACTTAGTTGACCGGTGCAGCTCTAGCAGGGCAGAAATATGACTAACTGACTTGTTGTAAAGGCGGCATCCTATGACAGTGCCACGTTGAAAGTCACTGAGTTCTTCAGTAAGGCCAATGTTTGTCTATGGAGTTTGCATGGCTGTGTGCTCAATTTTATACACCTGTCAACAACGGGTGTGGCTGAAATTGCCGAATCCACTAATTTGAGGGGGTGTCCACATACCCTTGGCTTAGTGTACTTAATTGTTAGAGAAATTATTTATTATGGAGATAAAAACGGCTGCACTGGGCATTTTAACATTTTGTTTTCCCTTTTCTGTCCTTGAGAACATGGAAAGGCCCCTGGCAGAAACACCAGGGTGACTACACCAACATTCACAGACGAAAACAATGGAAAGCTAGTTATTTTAGGCAAAGGGTGGCTGTATCTCAAGTCCTGATATCGCTAGGTAGCTAAGCAATTAATTACAGAGCAGTCTACTGTGTTGAGCTTACTACCATTGTTTGGATATCTGTCCTCATGTTAACCTAATGCAATATTTTCTTGACTCGTCGATGTTGCTCTCTGTAGGTATATGGGTCCCTAATCTTTACTCTTTCTCCTGTTCCATGCAGGTAAAAATCCAGCCTGTCGCCAAGTACGACTGGGAGCACAAGCATTACTACGGCAACCTGATAGCAGTCTCTAACTCATACCTGGCATATGCCATCCGAGGTGAGTGTAGAACCATGGATTAGCAATTATTTTGACAAATTTGTGAGTCCTTTCCAGGCCAATGTCTGTGATATTCTGGAAGTCTAGTTGAATATTTATTTGGCTGAACCAGGCAGTGCAGCGATGGATTGCTGCAATGTCAGCAGCAAATTTACCCCAAATCAGTTTTGCCTCATAATTTAAGCACTTGCTCTGGTGAAAGAAAATCAAGATTGATAACACAAATAGCTTACTCTGACCGTATGTCCCCATTCAGATTTGAATGCCTTGGAAACCACAAACGCCTCCTTTTGATTGACAAAATATACACTATATATACAAAGGTATGTGGACACCCCTTCAAATTAGTGGATTTGGCTATTTCAGCCACACACGTTGCTGACAGGTAAACAAAATCGAGCACACAGCCATGCAATCTCCATAGACAAACATTGGCAGTAGAATGGCCCGTACTGAAGAGCTCAGTGACTTTCAACGTGGCACCGTCATAGGATGCCACCTTTCCAACAAGTCAGTTAATGAAATTTCTGCCCTGCTAGAGCTGCCCCGGTCAACTGTAAGTGCTGTTTTTGTGAAGTGGAAACATCTAGGAGCAACAACGTCACAGCCGCAAAGTGGTAGGCCACACAAGCTCACAGAACGGGACTGCCGAGTGCTGAAGCACGTAGCGCATAAAATCGTCTGTCCTCGGTTGCAACGCTCACTACCAAGTTCCAAACTACCTCTGGAAGCAACGTCAGCACAATAACTGTTTGTCGGGAGCTTCATGAAATGGGTTTCCATGGCTGAGCAGCAGCACACAAGCCTAAGATCACCATGCGCAATGTCAAGCGTCGGCTGTAGTGGTGTAAAGCTCGCCGCCATTGGACTCAGGAGCAGTGGAAATGGGTTCTCTGGGGTGATGAATCACGCTTCACCATCTGGCAGTCCGATGGACGAATCTGGGTTTGGCGGATGCTAGGAGAACGCTACCTGTCCGACTGCATATTACGAACTGTAAAGTTTGGAAGAGGAATAATGGTCTGGAGCTGTTTTTCATGGTTCTGGCTAGGCTCCTTACTTCTAGTGAAGGGAAATCTTAACGCTACAGCATACAATGACATTCTAGACGATTCTGTGCTTCCAACTTTGTGGCAACAGTTTGGGGAAGGCCCTTTCCTGTTTCAACATGACAATTCCCCCGTGCACACAGCGAAGTCCGTACAGAAATGGTTTGTCGAGATCATGTGGAAGAACTTGACTGGCCTGCGCAGAGAACTGACCTCAACCCCATCAACCACCTTTTGGATGAATTGGAACCAGGCCTAATCGCCCAACGTCAGTGGCCGACCTCACTATTGCTCTTGGGGCTGAATGGACGCAAGTCCCCGCAGCAATTTTCCAACATCTAGTGGAAAGCCTTCTGAGAAGAGTGGAGACTGTTATAATAGCAAAGGGGGGACCAACTCCACATTAATGCTCATGATTTTTGACAACCAGGTGTCCACAAACTTTTGGTCATATAGTGTAGCTTTCTGCTAGCCAAAAAAGCAGCAAAAAAGATGCATGGTGTTGTTGCCAAGTTTACATGAACATGTACTTTTTTGTTTGATTAACAGTGGAGACTGAACTCTTTTTAAATATTTTTTCTGCATTTGGCTGTGTGAGTTAGGGTTGGGCTATGTCCTATCGCGATTATGTACCCATAAAACATTGATATACGATGCGATTGCCCCTATTGGCCACCTCACACGCATGTTTTTTGTTAAAAAATAAAGACAGTTAGCCTATAGCGTGAAATCGAATGCAACATCATGACGAAAGATAATGTTGTGGAAAGCCTGGGCAGAGGTTAAGTGCAGGTAATGGCAAGTCTTTTCTAATATTCCTTTCTGGTGGAGGAACATAACCTGTGTGTGTGTCTTTGTTGCGCACACATGATTGAGCAGTCATTGTCTGATAATGTAAGTAATAGTGTGCAGTGTGATTGCGATTGCATCGTCTGTGGATCTATTGGGGCGGTAAGCAAATTGAAGTGGGTCTAGGGTGACAGGTAAGGTAGAGGTGATATGATCCTTCACTAGTCTCTCAAAGCACTTCATGATGACAGAAGTGAGTGCTACGGGGCAATAGTCATTTAGTTCAGTTACCTTTTGCTTTCTTGGGTACAGGAACAATGATGTCCATCTTGAATCATGTGGGGACAGCAGACTGGGATAGGGAGAGATTGAATATGTCCATAAACACACCAGCCAGCTGGTCTGCGCATGCTCTGAGGACGAGGCTAGGGATGCTGTCTGGGCCGGCAGTCTTGCAGGGGTTAACCTGTTTAAATGTCTCACTCACGTCGGCTACGGAGAAGGAGCCCACAGTCCTTGGTAGTGGGCTGCGTCGGTGGCACTGTGTTATCCTCAAAGCGGGCGAAGAAGGTGTTTAGCTTGTCTGGAAGCGAGACATCGGTGTCGGCGACGTGGCTGGTTTTCGTTTTGTAGTCCGTGATTGTCTGTAGACTCTGCCACATACGTCTTGTGTCTGAGCCATTGAATTGCGACTCCACTTTGTCTCTATACTGATGTTTTGCCAGTTTAATTGCCCTGCGAGGTGAGTAGCTACACTGTTTGTATTCTGCCATATTCCCAGTCACCTTGCAATGGTTAAATGCGGTGGTTTGCGCTTTGAATTTTGCATAAATGCTGCCATCTATCCACGGTTTCTGATTAGTGTAGGTTTTAATAGTCACAGTGGGCACAACATCTCCTATACACTTCCTGATAAACTCAGTCAACGTTTCAATGTATTCGCAAGCTACCCGGAACATATCCCAGTCCGCGTGATCAAAACAATCTTTAGTCAGACCAGCGTTGAATAGTCCTTAGCACGGGTACAGGTGTGCCAAGCTTGTATCATCATACCCAAGAAGACTCAAGGCTGTAATCTCTGCCAAAGGTGCTTCAACAAAGTACTGAGTAAAGTGTCTGAATACTTATGTACATGTGCTTTCTTTAATACATTTTCAAAAATTTCAATAAACCTGTTTTAGCTTTGTCTTTATAGGGTATTGTGCAGGGGCGGCCTGTTCAATAGGGCGATATGGGCGACGCACTGCCAAACGGGAAAAGGAAGGGATTTTTTTTCTAATCAATTATATCACGGCAACAGTAGTTATCAGTGTTGTAATCTATACGTCTGATCTGCCACAGTGCCACACTGCCACTAAATGTCGAATCAGGCTAAAGTCGTGCTTCAAATGGCTCCCCCCCCTTTTGGGGCGATTTCAGTCAGATTGAAAATCGCCCAGAAGTCTGTCATAGACTCCCATGTAAAATCTATTTTTTTCAAATTTCAGAGCCTTCAATACAATCTCAATGGGTGTCTGTGGGCTTGCACTTACGCGCTTTCGTCATACGTTACGTAACCATGAACGTAACTGAGAAAAGAGTGGATTGTTTGAAAGAAGTTCCTTTTTGTCGGCGAACAAATGAAGATAAATTGGCAACGAAACAATTAGGACCTCACAGACCAAATTTAATAATTCAACAGGTTTCTACTAAAGGCGGAAAGTCCTACACCCGAGGATTTTCCAAAAATTAGTACGAACGAAAAAAGACATTGCCACTCACTCAACTGGATGACGAGGGATACAGGCTAGCTGTCCGCCGCCACAACGATGAGGTTAGTGTTGATAATCACAAGTTTACTGGAGAACCAACTGAGACCAAGTAGAGACTTTGGACAGGGTGGATATGGTGTAATAAAGGCAGTTTATTCAGAGGTAAATATATCTGGAATCGCGTTCACGGACCCGTTCGTCAAACTCTTAGGGAGCTATAAATTAAGCCCCATTACTTACCATATCAGATAAGAGAAATTGCTGCAGCTACATATATTTTACATCCTGGCCCTACATAGTTCACTATTTGCATCACTTACCAAAATATTACATGTGGTCATATATGCTTGGAAAGTGGAGATGCCATAGAACGTCAAAAAAGTAAACATTGCTGGAGACACATTGCCGTTTTGGAGAAGACATCGCGTTTGCTAGCGAAGAGATTTGTTGTGGCAAATGAACTTGGGCTGGGAATTGCCAGGAACCTCACGATAAGATATATGCATCAGCATTGCGAGTCTCATGATTCTATACGTATTGCGATTCGATACTGTGATTTTATTGCGCACCATATGTCTGTTGCAGAGGGATCAGAAAGCCATGAGAACGAGTTTTGATCAGTCATGGAAATAAAAGTGCTGAAAACAAATTGGCTCCCAATGTGAAAAGATTGAGAACAAGCTATGAAGGAACAATAATGGTGTTTTGGTGCAGGTACAGCCAACTAGCGCTAAAATATTGCGATATTGTCAATACAGTATATCGTAAAGTATCACTATGTAACTCGATTTCTTTCACCCCAATCCCTCAAATTAACGGTAAATAACTGAATTGTTTGCCCCACATTTAGCTAAGATGATTAGCTAGCCAGCTAAAATGTTTTATTTAGTTAGCAGTCGCATCTACAATAGTTTACTGTCAATAACATGTCTCCAAAAATGACGTGGTGTCTCCAATTGTGTTGACATTTTACAATTGCAATGCGCATCCATGAGTATCCACTTTCTGTAGCTCAGCTGGTAGAGCATGGTGCTTGTAACGCCAAGGTAGTGGGTTCGATCCCCGGGACCACCCATACACAAAAATGTATGCACGCATGACTGTAAGTCGCTTTGGATAAAAGCGTCTGCTAAATGGCATATTATTATTATTATTATTATTATTATTATTATTATTATTATTATCTGAAGAGAGCCCCGAAACATTGTGTGCAGACATTTTATGCAATAAATGAAGTAGGTTCAATCTAGTAGTTCTGATCTTCTGATTGGTCCTGATGAGTTGGGCGAGGTCCCCTCCAGGCTACTGTCACTGTTGCATTGGCTCTGAGTCGGGTTCTCTGTCTTCAAATGTTCAGCCTAAGAGAGGGGATTTTTGTGTGTGTGTGTGTGTGTGTGTGTTTAACAGTGATGATGTGTGTGTGTGTGTGTGTGTTTAACAGTGATGATGTGTGTGTTTGTGTGTGTGTGTGTCCTCAGAGCAAGAACTCGTGAGTTGGAAGAACTGAGAGGCCTATGGCGTGGGTGTTGTCCTTGGCCACCTGCTGACAAGGCTGACAAGATAGGACCCTTTTGTCCATTGTTATTGGATAGGAACAGAACTTATAACCAGCTCCTGACCTAAATAGATCTTAGCACAACATTTTACTCAACATATCATATTCCATATTCACTATAACAAATATATTTACTACGACATTAGCAAGAACCGCCACATCCTCAGCCGGCTAATCCAGTGTGTGAAGTTTTGCGGAGTGTTTGAGTTAGCTTTGCGAGGCAAAGATGAAACTGAGGGCTCCACCAACCCTGGTAAGCCAACACTTTTGAGATCAGTCAATAAATGCTTCTGGTATTGACTTATATGCTGCCCCTGTCTTCATGTTGTTGCTGGACATATCTTTTTTTAAATGTGTGTAGGTCACCTAAATCATCAGAAAAATTGCCCCTCCTGAGAATTTTTTCAGGAGCCGCCACTGGTATTGTGTGTAGATTGAAGAGTGGGGAAAACATAATATTTAATCCATTTTAGAATAAGGCTGTAACATAACAACATGTTGAAAAGGTCAAGGGGTCTGAATACTTTCCGAATGCACTGTATACAGTGAGGGGGAAAAAAGTATTTGATCCCCTGCTGATTTTGTACGTTTGCCCACTGACAAAAACATGATCAGTCTATACTTTTAATGGTAGGTTTATTTGAACAGTGAGAGACAGAATAACAACAAAAGAATCCAGAAAAATGCATGTCCAAAATGTTATAAATTGATTTGCATTTTAATGAGGGAAATAAGTATTTGACCCCTCTGCAAAACATGACTTAGTACTTGGTGGCAAAACCCTTGTTGGCAGTCAGTGGTCAGACGTTTCTTGTAGTTGGCCACCAGGTTTGCAAACATCTCAGGAGGGATTTTGTCCTACTCCACTTTGCAGATCTTCGTCCCTTTGATGCGGTGAAGTTGTCCTGTCCCCTTAGCAGAAAAACAAACATCCGCTAACAATAACTCAAGCCTGTCTATACACTTTGCTACTCAGTCATTGAAGCTGCAATGCTGGATGCAGCGCAAGGGGAGAAGCGCATTTCATGGCTTATAAAAGTGACAGTAGTGAATAAAGTTAAACATGAACTCAGTCATAAAAAACGGCTTGGTTTTAGTCATGGTTTTACACGTTTTGAAATCACAGTATCAACTTCATTTGCTGTGTGCTGGAGGAAGCTGCAGACAGACACACAGTGATCTGAGCAATCTGATTGGCTATGTGTTATTTCATAGTTTTGATGTCTTCACTATTATTCTACAGTCGTGGTCAAACGTTTTGAGAATGACACAAATACTAAATTTCACAAAGTCTGCTGCCTCAGTTTTGATGATGGCAATTTGCATATACTCCAGAATGTCATGAAGAGTGATCAGATGAATTGCAATTAATTGCCAGGTCCCTCTTTGCCATGAAAATGAACTTAATCCCCCAAAAACATTTCCACTGCATTTCAGCCCTGCCACAAAAGGACCAGCTGCCATCATGTCAGTGATTCTCTCGTTAACACAGGTGAGAGTGTTGACGAGGACAAGGCTGGAGATCACTCTGTCATGCTGATTGAGTTAGAATAACAGACTGGAAGCTTTAAAAGGAGGGTGGTGCTTGAAATCATTGTTCTTCCTGTGTTAACCATGGTTACATGCAAGGAAACACGTGCCGTCATCATTGCTTTGCACAAAAAGGACTTCACAGGCAAGGATATTGCTGCTAGTAAGACTGCACCTAAATCAACCGTTTATCGGATCAAGAACTTCAAGGAGAGAGGTTCAATTGTTGTGAAGAAGGCGTCAGGGCGCCCAAGAAAGTCCAGCAAGCGCCAGGACCGTTTCCTAAAGTTGATTCAGCTGCGGGATTGGGGCACCACCAGTGCAGAGCTTGCTCAGGAATGGCGGCAGGCAGGTGTGAGTGCATCTGCACGCACAGTGAGGCGAAGGCCTTTGGAGGATGGCCTGGTGTCAAGAAGGGCAGCAAAGAAGCCACTTCTCTCCAAGAAAAACATCAGGAACAGACTGATTTTCTGCAAAAGGTACAGGGATTGGACTGCTGAGGACTGGGGTAAAGTCATTTTCTCATTTTGAATCCCCTTTCCGATTGTTTGGGGCATCCGGAAAACACCTTGTCCGGAGAAGACAAGGTGAGCTCTACCATCAGTCCTGTGTCATGCCAACAGTAAAGCATCCTGAGACCATTCATGTGTGTGGTTGCTTCTCAACCAAGGGAGTGGGCTCACTCACAATCTTGCCTAAACACAGCCATGAATAAAGAATGGTACCAACACATCCTCCAAGAGCAACTTTTCCCAACCATCCAAGAACAGTTTGATGACGACCAATGCCTTTTCCAGCATGATGGAGCACCTTGTCATAAGGCAAAAGTGATAACTAAATGGCTCGTGGAACAAAACATCAACATTTTGGGTCCATGGCCAGGAAGCTCTCCAGACCTTAATCCCATTGAGAACTTGCGGTCGATCCTCAAGAGGTGGGTGGACAAACAACAACTCACAAATTCTGACAAACTCCAAGCATTGATTATGCAAGAATGGGCTGCCATTAGTCAGGATGTGGCCCAGAAGTTAATTGACAGCATGCCAGGGCGGATTGCAGAGGTCTTGAAAAAGAAGGGTCAACACTGCAAATATTGACTCTTTGCATAAACTTAATGTAATTGTCAATAAAAGCCTTTGACACTTATGGAATGCTTGTAATTATACTTCAGTATACCATAGTAACATCTGACAAAAATATATGATAACACTGAAGCAGCGAACTGTGTGAAGACCAATACTTGTCATTCTCAAAACTTTTGACCACGACTGTACAATGTAGAAAATATTACAATAAAGGAAAAACCCTTGAATGAGTAGGTACAGTGGGGAAAAAAGTATTTAGTCAGCCACCAATTGTGCAAGTTCTCCCACTTAAAAAGATGAGAGAGGCCTGTAATTTTCATCATAGGTACACGTCAACTATGACAGACAAATTGAGAGAGAAAAATCCAGAAAATCACATTGTAGGATTTTTTATGAATTTATTTGCAAATTATGGTGGAAAATAAGTATTTGGTCACCTACAAACAAGCAAGATTTCTGGCTCTCACAGACCTGTAACTTCTTCTTTAAGAGGCTCCTCTGTCCTCCACTCGTTACCTGTATTAATGGCACCTGTTTGAACTTGTTATCAGTATAAAATACACCTGTCCACAACCTCAAACAGTCACACTCCAAACTCCACTATGGCCAAGACCAAAGAGCTGTCAAAGGACACCAGAAACAAAATTGTAGACCTGTACCAGGCTGGGAAGACTGAATCTGCAATAGGTAAGCAGCTTGGTTTGAAGAAATCAACTGTGGGAGCAATTATTAGGAAATGGAAGACATACAAGACCACTGATAATCTCCCTCTATCTGGGGCTCCACGCAAGATCTCACCCCGTGGGGTCAAAATGATCACAAGAACGGTGAGCAAAAATCCCAGAACCACACGGGGGTCCTAGTGAATGACCTGCAGTGAGCTGGGACCAAATTAACAAAGCCTACCATCAGTAACACACTACGCCGCCAGGGACTCAAATCCTGCAGTGCCAGACGTGTCCCCCTGCTTAAGCCAGTACATGTCCAGGCCCGTCTGAAGTTTGCTAGAGTGCATTTGGATGATCCAGAAGAGGATTGGGAGAATGTCATATGGTCAGATGAAACCAAAATATAACTTTTTGGTAAAAACTCAACTCGTCGTGTTTGGAGGACAAAGAATGCTGAGTTGCATCCAAAGAACACCATACCTACTGTGAAGCATGGGGGTGGAAACATCATGCTTTGGGGCTGTTTTTCTGCAAAGGGACCAGGACGACTTATCCGTGTAAAGGAAAGAATGAATGGGGCCATGTATCGTGAGATTTTGAGTGAAAACCTCCCATCAGCAAGGGCATTGAAGATGAAACGTGGCTGGGTCTTTCAGCATGACAATGATCCCAAACACACCGCCCGGGCAACGAAGGAGTGGCTTCGTAAGAAGCATTTCAAGGTCCTGGAGTGGCCTAGCCAGTCTCCAGATCTCAACCCCATAGAAAATCTTTGGAGGGAGTTGAAAGTCCATGTTGCCCAGCGACAGCCCCAAAACATCACTGCTCTAGAGGAGATATGCATGGAGGAATGGGCCAAAATACCAGCAACAGTGTGTGAAAACCTTGTGAAGACTTACAGAAAACGTTTGACCTGTGTCATTGCCAACAAAGGGTATATAACAAAGTATTGAGAAACTTTTGTTATTGACCAAATAACTATTTTCCACCATAATTTGCAAATAAATTCATTAAAAATCCTACAATGTGATTTTCTGGATTTTTTTCCCTCAATTTGTCTGTCATAGTTGACGTGTACCTATGATGAAAATTACAGGCCTCTCTCTTTTTAAGTGGGAGAACTTGCACAATTGGTGGCTGACTAAATACTTTTTTTCCCCACTGTATGTCAACTTTTGACTGTGACTATATATATATATATATATATATATATATATATATATATATATATATATTTATTTATTTATTTATTTATTTATTTAATCCAGCTGGATAAACACTCAAACAGCCTATCCGACCGCTCGGAGGCGTCCGCATGGTCATAAGGCCCCGTGTAGCTCAGTTGGTAGAGCATGGCGTTTGCAACGGCAGGGTTGTGGGTTCGATTTCCACGGGGGGCCAGTATGAAAAATGTATGCACTCACTAACTGTAAGTCAAAATATTTTGCGATCGGCTAGGAATGCCTTGGAGATCGACCAGTCAATCGTGATCAACAAAAACATTTCTGTAACGACGGGGCCCCCACGTTTTGTTACAGCAAACTGGGTACTATGTCAGCCATTGCTGGAGCCCTCTGTGCCCGTAAGGAGGCCGGGCTTCATGCAGGCTATACAGTCTCACAGAAGCACAATGTGTGTTGGTAGCTTGTCCATGTTTATTGGCCCTCTGGTACCCCGCATTTCATGGGGTTCAAGGGGTATATCAATCTCCCCCGGGTGGAATGTAATACATTGGGCAAATCACTCTGTCTACAAGGGTGCACCCCTCCCCATAAGTGGCTCATTACTGGGATTCATTGCTGAATCTTGCCTGTAGCTCACTAGTCCCAAGAAGGTGTCTAGTGATACAGGCTATGGGCCCTGTAGGCGATTGGGGGTTGGTAGCGGAGTCAAGGGAGCATGCAGGGTTGGACACGGCCATGCTATTATCCCGCAGAGTCTCTGTGGTGTATATGAACCCTGAAATTAGTAGTCTTTCTCCAGCTCAGCACTTTTCATTCCTAGGAATTAGATTACGAATCTCCCCTGTCTCTTACCACAGAAGAGGCCCATTTGTCAGAGCTGTCTGTCCCATTCCCAGCTAGGTTCCACGGCTCTTTGTCGCCAGCACTTATGACTGGTCAGTAGGGTAACTTCCATGGTAATGTTTAATTTCCTGGGTCTATTTTTAATGCGTGGGTCCCAGCACTGCGGGCAATACTTGAGTAAAGATGCCTTCATAGAAAGAGTAAAAGTGAAAGTCGCCAAGTAAAATACTACTTGAGTATTAGGTTGTAAATATACTTAAGTATCAAAAGGTGGCACTGCCAATCGGGGTACGTCACTGATCGACGGTGCCCTTGTACCCATAGTGTGCCGGGCTTTAGGCAAACCTTGGTACATAAACCTTTTTATTTTCAACAGCAAGTTCCACAGTTTTCACGGGTGTCAAGTGTTCTCTCCCGCATGTGAGTTCGATGAACAGGACACACTGAGCGCACCCCGAGTAGGCGATAGCATTGTCGAATCATACCAACTTTGTAACGACAGTCAAACAAAAGTCATATGACCAAAGTTGCTAACCTTGCTAGATACCGTTTGTTGATCACACAGGCCGTGTCTAGACTTGACAGTTCTTGCAGCCTTAGTATTCCGATCATGGAATTCCGAACATGTCATGCATTTACACCTATAGTTAAATGTGTCTACTGTGTCCGGATTCCCTCTTCCCACGCTATATTCAAATGCCAGTAGGGCCTATGCATTCTACAAACGGTGGAGTAGGCAAAATATGATCACTCAACAACTGATGGCAGTAGCGAACTACTGTAGGTAGCTAGCCAGCTAACCTCTGTAGCTAGCTAGCAAGCAACGCTAAAGGGATTGCAAACAGGTTAGCATAACTCTAGCCAACTCAAAAATGGTTTCTCTAAATATTAGCTAGCTGGCTAGCATTTATGAGGCCAGCAAACACGTTCCTCACAGGCTTGGAAAGTATTTCCTCCAGTGTTATAATGAAAAGGTGCCTCGGTCCCAAAACACAAGTTTTCTGGAGACATGTGGAAGGAGTGCTGATGACGTCGCCCACTGTATGCTCTTTCGGTAGCCTGATTGCGTTCAGTGGTATTGGGACGATAGGAAAATAGCCTAGGCTCTATATATGGCCACTACGTGAGTCAATAGATAAGTAATTTACTTGATTTAGGCTACATTGTTGCATGCTGAATGTTTCTGATCAGCGATAGATTAGCAAACGAATAAATGAGCTACCACTTCCACTTGTCCAGCCAGAAATCAATTAACCAAATAACAGACGGAGATTCAGTGAAACAAAATCACTGATTGATTATCAGACAAGTCACAGGCTTTTGGTCGAAGAACAAAATCCACTTGTATAACATGCTAGCAAAATGTTCTGATCAGCTAATATATGAGCAAACTAGAATAAAGGTGAACATTAGCGCTCACTTTTATTTAGCTAACATGTCTGCAGCCTAATTCTTACCAAATATCCAAACGAAGATTGATTGAAAACAAAAGTTGGACATTGATTCATCTAGAAGAGTCCCCCACGCTTGTCTCAAAGCAGTGCGATGGCGCTGTCCCAATCAAAACGGTGCTGAAATGATTATCTTGGTGTCCACACACACAACTATTGCTTTAAATTAGAATAATGGTTGGATATGACTTGGGAGTTTCAGTATCAGCAAGAACTTGATACATGCCTTCAATTGCAATTATTTTAATCATTCAGTTGATCATAACTAAGATTAGTTTTCCTCTCTCTGCGCTTTTTCTAGGCCCAATGGCTGTTTCTTATAATAATAATAATAATAATAATAATAATAATATGCCATTTAGCAGACGCTTTTATCCAAAGCGACTGACAGTCATGCGTGCATACATTTTTGTGTATGGGTGGTCCCGGGGATCGAACCCACTACCTTGGCGTTACAAGCGCCGTGCTCTACCAGCTGAGCTACAGAGGATCTCTTCACTCCGCTGCCGCCTGCCTCGCTGAGTTGTTCTCAACACCAGTTTTAAATCAACAGCCTACTGTTTTCAAGAAATCTGGCTTTTTAAGAAACATTTATGTAGTTCTGTCCTTGAGCTGTTCTTGTCTATTAATGTTCTGCATTATGTCATGTTTTGTGTGGACCCCAAGGAAGAGTAGCTGCTGCTTTTGCAACAGCTAATGGGGATCCGAATAAAATACCAAATATCCTCCCATCTCCAGAAGCAGGCAATCCGAGTGGTTCCTTTTGTTGAAGATCCAGGACAGCTGGTATAGCCGGTATTTCATGGTTCCGAAAAGGGACTGGACTTTGCGTCCCATTCTAGACCTACGTGCCCTCAGCAAGCACCTCAGTCTACGAACTCTGAATGCTCACGAGCCGCTGGCTTTTACAGCCAATTGGCTTGTGGCGGCGGAGTCTAGGGGGCAAGAAGTGTTCCACACATCAATGCTACTGTCCCGTAGTCTGTTTCTAGGCTATTTAAGAAATCAGAAAAATATGTCTGACTCCATCTCAGCGTGTGCCATTTCTGGGTCATGAGCTCACTCACGTATCACGCTTTTCTATCCCAACGGAGGGGTTTCCTTGTTCCGGCTCTGCTTAGTCAAATTTTGGCTGTATCACACAGTCCGTTTTCGCCAGTGCCTTACTGGGGATGATGACTTCTGTGATGGAAGTCGTTCCCGTAGGGCTATTGTTGATGCGGCCTTTCCAACGCTGAGTGCTAGCCACTCAACCTGGATGCATCTCGCAGCCTAAGCCGGTCGCTTCAGGTGTCCCTGTCGCCCACAGGCCATGGCCCAGTGGTGGGACCCTCTGCTATTGTCAGGGGGCTCCCATGGGCAGACTTGTATCCCGCAAGGTGATCTCAACTGGTGATCTTTTATCCAGGTGGAACCCTCTCTCTCAGGAGTGGAGGCTACACCTCTGGGTGGTCTCCCAGGTATGGGACATTTTCTGCAGGGCCGACGTAGATCTTTACACATCGCGAGAATACACGCAGTGTTGTCTATTTTTCTCAATGAGGTAGCCAAGTGCCTCGTTGGGAAAGGACACTGGCGCACCAGTGGCATCGGACCCTCCTTTACACGATTCCGCCGGTGGTTCTGATTCAGCCCATGGCTTATCATTGATTCTTGTGGCTCCCCGTTGGCCTAGGCAGCCTTGTTTCGTGGAGATCATCTGCCTTTTAGGCGGGGACACGTTGCAAATCACATTGCGCAGGGACCTGTTGTCCCAGACGCACAGGCAGGTTTGGCAAGCGAGGCCAGAGATTTTGGTTCCTATGTGCCTGGCCCTTGAGTGGGCCAATCTGATAGTTTTACCTCTGAATGTTATTGCTACCATTCAGTCTCCAAGGGCGCCTTCCACGAGAGGGCTGTATGCAGTTAAGTGGCAAGCGTTTTAACTCTGGTGCCAAGATAAAGGACTTCATCCTTGTCAGTGCTATGTGAGGGACATCCTTATGTTCCTACAATACTTTTCGAGCAGGGGCGGGCATTCTCTAGGTTAAAAGTATACATGGCCGCAATCTCAGCGTGTCATGTGGGAATTCACGGAGCCTCACCCGGGGGCCCACACCCTGGTTATGAGGTTCTTGAAAGGTGTACGTTGTCTCGGACAGGTCTCCATACCTATTGCGCACACATGGGCTTGGAGCTGGTTTGAAGGCACTGTGTGTGGCCCCCTTGAGCATCTGGAATTGCTGGATCTGAAGATCCTCCTCTACAAAACCTCCCTGCTCATGACTTTGGCCTCGGCTAAACGTGTTGGGGACCTGCGTGTTATCTGGTATCCTATTCGCCCCAGGCGACTGTAAGGTGACGTTGCATCCAAATGCGGCCACCGCCCCGAAAGTAATGGCTATGTCCTACAGGTCCTTAGCTTTTGAGCTATTTCCCTTTATCACCGCCTCTTGGGCTTTGTTTAAAGGGTTGACTATAGGATAGATTTGTGCTGCGGCGAGTTGGGCGTCACCACACACTTTTGTGAGGTTTTATTGCTAGGATGTCACTGCTACCAGTGTAGCCCACAGGGTGCTTACGGCTGGGACAGGGGAAAGTCACTAGGCAGCGCGCCGTGTGCGCAGTACCCAGACTGCCACATTTGGCGGGGTCAGGTCTTGGTGGTCTACCATGGGCTGTTTTCATTTAGTATCTGTTGGGGTCGGCTTGGGGCGTGATCATATTCCCCGCATAGTATGTTGTACCGAAGTTGATGTAATGTCTGACTATAACTTCTGTTCCCTTAAGGAGGGAAATAAGGTACAACACCGGTTTGGCCCCGCGTCGCCTGTTCCTGGGCTCGGTGAAGAGCGGTATTCAATTTAAGAAATTAATCCAAGCTTCAAGCTTGTCTTCTGTGGATGGCGGGGCTTCCAGCAAAGCACATATTTCATTGGGCTTGTCAGGTGTGATTGTAGATCTTTCAACAGAAGTCACGAGAGTGCGACTCACCGTAGCTTGTTGTACCTTTTTTCCTTCCTTCAGGGAACAGTAGTTACAGTCATAACGTTACGTTCTCTCATTATTAATCCTCTGGCTACCTTAAATTTTTAGGCTATTAAAATAACTTTTTGAGATGGAATTCTGTTACATTCATTGTTTCATCGTGAGAAAGCATGCATAAAACGATGAAGCGTAGCCTTCAGTCATATTCATAGAATGGAGAGAGAGAGAAGGGATTATAGGTTACTTTTACATGTAGACAAGATAGTTGAGGAGTATCTGAGAGAGAGCGAGATTGACTTGTCATTTTGCTTTGGTGGCGCCAGTCAAACCATTGTCGGTCACATCACGATGTCATCACCATCGACAATGGCTGTCAATCATCTTCTATAGACGATGCTATCGTAATATTGCCCAACCCTAGTGTGACTGCCAAGACTGTGATCTATTAATTTGTATGGACTCTTGATTTCCCTCTGCCTGTCATCAAAGCATTTAATCAACTTCATAGTGGTGACAGAATTACAAACAACATGAAGTTATTGAGGAATCTGTGGTAAAACATAATAGACACTGAACCAATATTAGTTGCTTTTCCCAACTACTCCACTATAACTTGGACCCTTGATATTTACAGTGCTTGACTTGGATTGAAATGGGTGCCAGTACTCATTTTGGATGCCGGTACAGTTTTTTATATTTAGATGCAGGAGCTCCACAATACTTTTGAGCTAATATTTTATAAGCGGTGCATGAGCTCAAGCAGTAAAACATTTTGAGGTGGCGGTACACCGCTCTGGTAAGCTCCTGTCCAAGTCGAGCACTGGGTATTTAACGCTGCTTAAGCTTTCCATGTAAAACCAAAAGATCCAGATTTGATTCAGAATGTGACAGAAGTTGGCTTGCAAACTCATGTTTTGTACTTGTGTGCAGGCGCAAACAACCAGGCCATGATCCGTGTGTTGAGCCTGGGCTCCGCAGAGCGCACCCTGCTGAAGGGCTTCACTGGTGCAGTCACAGACCTGGCCTTCGCTCATTTGGACTCCACCCTGCTGGGATGTGTTGACGAGGCCGGCAACCTGGTCATCTGGCAGCTCACCTGCCACAGCAGCAAGATCCAGTATCCTCTTCATTCTACCTACATTCTGCACAAGAATTACACTTCAGTTGGTCCCTTACTGCTTCATGTAACACTATACAGTTGAAGTCGGAAGTTTACATACACTTAGGTTGGAGTCATTTAAACTTGTTTTTCAACCACTCCACACATTTCTTGTTAACAAACTATAGTTTTGGCAAGTCTGTTAGGACATCTACTTTGTGCATGACACGAGTCATTTTTCCAACAATTGTTTACAGACAGATTATTTCACTTACAATTCACTTTCACAATTCCAGTGGGTCAGAAGTTTACATACACTTAGTTGACTGTGCCTTTAAACAGCTTGGAAAATTCCAGAAAATGATGTCATGGCTTTAGGAGCTTCTGATAGGCTAATTGACATCGTTTGAGTCAATTGGAGGTGTATCTTTGGATGTATTTCAAGGCCTACCTTCAAACTTAGTGCCTCTTTGCTTGACATCATGGGAAAATCCAAAGAAATCAGCCAAGACCAAAGAAAACAATTTGTAGACCTCCACAAGTCTGGTTCATCCTTGGGAGCAATTTCCAAACGCCTGAAGGTACCATGTTCATCTGTACAAACAATAGTATGCAAGTATAAACACCATGGGACCACGCAGCCATCATACCGCTCAGGAAGGAGACGCGTTCTGTCTCCTAGAGATGAACGTACTTTGGTGCGAAAAGTGCAAATCAATCCCAGAACCTTGTGAAGGAGGAAACGGGTACAAAAGTATCTATATCCACAGTAAAACGAGTCCTATATCGACATAACCTGAAAGGCTGCTCAGCAAGGAAGAAGCCACTGCTCCAAAACCGCCATTAAAAAAAGCCAGACTACGGTTTGCAACTGCACATGGGGACAAAGATCATACTTTTTGGAGAAATGTCCTCTGGTCTGATGAAACAAAAATAGAACTGTTTGGCCATAATGACCATTGTTATGTTTGGAGGGAAAAGGGGGTAGCTTGCAAGCCGAAGAACACCATCCCAACCGTGAAGCACGGGGGTGGCAGCATCATGCTGTGGGGGTGCTTTGTTGCAGGAGGGACTGGTGCACTTCACAAAATAGATGGCATCGTGAGGAAGGAAAATTATGTGGATATATTGAAGCAACATCTCAAGACATTAGTCAGGAAGTTAAAGCTTAGTCGCAAATGGGTCTTCCAAATGGACAATGACCCCAAGCATACTTCAAAAGTTGTGGCAAAATGGCTTAAGGACAACAAAGTCAATGTATTGGAGTGGCCATCACAAAGCCCTGACCTCAATCCTATAGAAAATCTGTGGGCAGAACTGAAAAGGCGTGTGCGAGGCCTACAAACCTGACTCAGTTGCACCCAGCTCTGTCAGGAGGAATGGGCCAAAATTCACCCAACTTATTGTGGGAAGCTTGTGGAAGGCTACCTGAAACGTTTGACCCAAATTAAACAATTTAAAGGCAATGCTACCAAATACTAATTGAGTGTATGTAAACTTCTGACCCACTGGGAATGTGATGAAAGAAAGAAATGCTGAAATAAATCACTCTCTACTATTATTCTGACATTTCACATAAAGTGGTGATCCTAACTGACCTAAGACAGGGAATTTGTACTTGGATTAAATGTCAGGAATTGTGAAAAACTGAGTTGAAATGTATTTGGCTAAGGTGTACGTAGATTTCCGACTTCAACTGTACATCTACCTTGTTTTGACCTTTTAAAAGTACATTGTGATGTGTGTACAGCAGTGGAGGCTGCTGAGGGGAGGACGGCTCATAATAATGGCTGGAAGGGAGCGAATGGAATGTCATCAAATGCATGGAAACCATGTGTTGGATGTATTTGATACCATTACACGAATTCCGCTCCAGCCATTACCACGAGCCCGTCCTCCCCAATTAAGGTGCCACCAACCTCCTGTGGTGTACAGCTGTGGTGTTACACACCTTAACCCACATGCTTGTCAGGGATCAAGTGGTTGTCCACGTCCGGAGGCCAGAAGACACGCCTCTGAACTCCAATAGGAGGTTGATCTGGTGTCCCTTCATCCTAGAGGACAATGAAGAGAACCCGGAGGATGCCAGCCAGACCCTGGCCCTGCTGCATGAAGACAGGGTATGTATGCCCTATTGGACACAATCAGACTTATTTATTTACCCATATCTCAGACAAACTCTACCTCCTCGTCCCTTTGTACTATTTTCTTCATCTTTTTATTTCACTCCCTCCCCTTTGCTGATTGTCTTGTCTTTTCTCCCCAGGCTGAGGTGTGGGATCTGGAGATCCTCCGCAGCAACAATAGCACCTGGCCAGTAGATGCCACTGACCTGAAGGATGGGGTTATAACCATAAAAGGACATACAGAGGTAGAGCATTTAAGTCATTTAGTAATCACATTGTCTGTTTCCAGTATGGAAAGCACTTATTTACAGGTTGATTTTTTGTGTGGAAATTGAGTTTGGGGTGTTTTTGTTTTTCTCCAGCGTATAAGTGAAGGTGCCCTGTCTCCGGATGGCACAGTCTTGGCCACAGCCAGTCATGATGGATATGTAAAGTTCTGGCAAATCTACATTGAAGGACAGGACCAGCCAAGGTAGATCTTTACTCAATATTACTCTATTTTATTCTATAAAATTGTATTCTTGAAAATTCCAGGTATTTCTTGTAATTCCTTTCCATCTGTATCTCTATGGTTACTTTTACTTTCCTTTGTGAAGTCCTCTCCCCGGCTTCTTTCACAGATGTCTGCATGAGTGGCAGCCCCACAATGGGAACCCCCTCTCCTGCCTGCTGTTCTGTGACAACCACAAGAAACAGGACCCAGAGTAAGTCCCTACTGTTCCCTTCTGCTGCTGTACGTCTTTAGCTGAACAGGTGTTGGGAGTATTTAGGGAATGTGACATTTGGGCGGTTCTGTTTATCACCGATTTTAAAATGTAATCTGATCAATAAAAAAAAAACTAAACATTTTGCGTTACACAGGATTACATAGACGCATGGATAGGTGCCATCTTTACAGCATTACCCAATGCAATCAGTGCAATCTTCTCTTAAGCACCCGTGAGAGATTGATTAGACCCCCCCCCCCCCCTTCTGCCTTTCTAGTGTTCCATTCTGGCGCTTTCTGATTACTGGAGCTGATCAGAACCAGGAGCTGAAGATGTGGTGCACAGTGTCATGGACCTGCCTGCAGACTATCAGGTCTAACTGTTTTACTTGTGTTTTTCACTGCTCTTTCATGCTTTGCAAGTTGTCTCATTCATACCTCTTTTACTGGACCTGTTTTAACGAGAGCCTATGTACATGTCCTCCAGGTTCTCTCCAGACCCGTTCAACTCCTCAGTCCTGCCCAGTCTGAAGGCCAGCCTGGACCTCTCTGCAGAATGCCTTATCCTCAGCGACGTACAGAGAAAGGTCAGAATAACATTGTGTCTTGCTGTTTCACTGTGATCTATCTACCGACTGTAATCCTTTTGGATATCAGGATGATGAGTGATGAACCCTGTTTTGTGTTGTCCCTCTAGGTGTTGTATGTGATGGAGTTGTTGCAGGACCAGGAGAAGGGCCATGCCAGCTTCACAGCCGTGTCCGAGTTCCTGCTCACACACCCTGTGCTCAGCTTTGGTGTTCAGGACGTCAGCCGCAGCCGCCTGCGCCACACAGAGGTCCTCCTCCCAGATGAGGAGAGCGAGAATATGACTGCAGGTTGGCTTCACCTTCTTGTATCCACATTACCACTACTACCTGATATAATGATGGGCTGGTCTGACCCTGTATTATCATGGGTATAATTTTGTTTTATAATGGCTTTTTCTTCCTGTTATCTCTAGAGGGTAACCAGGGCCCAATGGAATCCAGAGCTGGGATCCAAATCAAGCTATACTGTGTCCACACAAAGTGAGTGTTCTCATTCAGGTCCAATTATTACCATATTTACACAGAGGTCTGCGTTGAAATTATGTGACCATATAATCAGTTTTTAGTATCCCATTTCATACACCCATAGGAGTGTTTTGATGTATTCTTCTGTCCACAGGTCCCTTCAAGACGTGCAGATCTGGTTCCAGCCAAACCTTGGGTCTGGCTCTTCCTTGTTTCTGCCTCACTCAGACTCAAACGATGGCTTTGGTGAGTTAAGAAAACCGTTGGTCGTCATAAACCAAAATGATCCTTTGCTCAGTTTTAAGAGAGATTTTAGAAACATTATCACAGATTTTCATGGATTAATCCGTCTTTGTGCTTTTCTAGGGTTTTCGGATCACTTGACAGACATGAGCGTGGAATGTTTGAGCTCTGACAAGGAGTCCGGATGCGGCTCCCAAAATGATCTCCGCAAGATTCCTGCCCTTCCTGCTCCCGCTGACTTCATGTCCCCCACTGGCGCCACCACTATGCCCAAGCTCATGACCCCTGACGCCTTTATGACCCCCAGTGCTTCAGTATGTCCTGTTCCAAATGCTCACTATTCCATCAAAATGCTAGCAAATATCCAAGAGAGGAATATTACTCCTGGATCTTGATTGTGCTTTTAATTTTTTTTCTGCCCTTCTCTCCCAGGTCCCAGCCTCCCCAGGCAGCAGTGCCAGCAGCCTGACAATAGTGACAGCCATGACCAGCAACTCTGACAGTGGGGCCAGGTAGGTCAACTTGAAGTGTGCATAAGAGGAGAGGAATTCATAATTGACTGAACAAGGAAAGATTGTGCTTTTATATACCTGACTCTAGTGATGTCAATGTCTGCAGGGGAGGAGAGGAGCTGAACCAGAACCTCAAGATGTCTGTGGAGAGCAGCAGCAGTAGCAGTCTGACTCTCAGTGCGAGCACCAGCAGCCCCAGGGCCAGCTCCATTCTCATCTCAGGCCTTGGGGACAACATGCCGGTAGGCCACACACTTGCATGGATGCTAGCACTCACAGCGCAGTCATTACACACGGTTAGAATGCAGAATGTGTGCCACAATTGGAGAGACTGAGGGGCCAAAGTAATGTTTGTCAACTTACAAGACCTCTCGTCCCACTCCATCGTATGTGACATCATCCTTACTCCTTGTTCCATTTTGGTCTTCCCTGCTGTCTCATAAAGATGTATCCTCTTCTACAAGAGACCACTCCTCATACGCTCATGTTCCCCCTCACCTACCCCCTCCGCCCTCTACAGGTGCTTCCCTCTCCAAACCCGCCCCTCTCGCTGGACCCACAGGTCATTGAGCCTATGCTGATTCAGCAGGCCTCTCCCACCCTGGCCCGCTCTCCAGACGTCATCTCATCTGCCTCCACGGCCATGTCCCAGGACATCCCTGAGATCGCCTCTGAGACGCTGCAGAGAGGCCTGGGGGTTGTGTCTGGAGCTGAATCCCGAGACCCTCTCCCAGCCCACCACACAGACAGCATGGCTTCTGCAGCCTCAGCCCTTCACCTCCTCTCACCACGGAACCGGAACAACTCAGGCCACCTGCCCCTGGAGCTGGGTGCTGGAGTAGGAGCAGTGGAGGCGGAGCAGAGGCTCAGTAACACTCCTTCACTACTGGAGAACGCCCTGTCACAGGAGAATGCTGCTGCAGCCGCCGCTGCCTCCTGCTCAGACAACAATACAAGCCACCCCTGGCCTGCAGCTCCCGACATCACACGGGAAACGCGCAACAGCCTGCGGGACAACGGCCTAGGAGACTGGTAAGACACACACACACACAGACACACACGCACTCTGACATAGGCATAGTGTCTTTACCTATGCATGCAACCTCAAGAGCACACACAGATCTGCTTTTTAGGTCTGAGTTTTAAATGGGATCTCTTTGTTGCTCTTAGCTCGAGGGAGGAAATGAAGGACAGACACATGTCCTCTCCATACCACAGACGCACCTACCACTTAACCCAGAATGACAGTCAGGACGCCAGTGCAGAACAGAGGTAAAATAGTCACACATCTCTGGAATTTCCCTGTAGTTGTCAATAACCCTGGTCCTGGAGGGATGAAGTATTTGCTGTGTTTTGGAAGTCAATGCTTGCTTGGTTAAAGTTTCCATTGAAAGGTAATCTTGATTCTTATTTAGATCATCCTAAACCTGTTATGATCTGTAGGGTTTTTTGTACCCATGCCTTAGTCTTGCTTATCACCGGCTACTGTGGGCACTTATACTCCTCCTCTTGCTTTGTTTTCCTGTCACACAGTGACCATGACGATGAGGGAGCCAGTCTAGCGTCGTCCTCAGGGAACTGTGGAGCCAGGTCGTCTCAAAGACTGCCAGTGAAGGAGTGGAAGAGTTCTCCCAGAGGCTCCCCTAAACTCAAGAGGAAGAGTAAAAAAGATGATGGGTGGGTGATAACATTCTGTGGTAACTGTCATGGTAAACATTCTCTGTCTAATGTCTTACTTCCATGTCTAATGGCCTCTTTGCCTTCTCTCTTTTTAGGGATGCATCTCATGCCTCTCATGTTTCTCATGCCTCTCAGTCCAGGCAGCCTGAGCATCATAATCATCAACATCAAGTAAGTGATTTTTATTTTATTTTATTTTATTTTATTTCACCTTTATTTAACCAGGTAAACCAGTTGAGAACAAGTTCTCATTTACAACTGCGACCTGGCCAAGATAAAGCAAAGCAGTGCGATAAAAACAACAACACAGAGTTACATATGGGGTAAAACAAAAATCAAAAAAAAAATATACAACAGAAATACAATTAAAATACAGTGTGCAAATTTAGCAAGTTATGGAGGTAAGGCAATAAAATAGGCTATAGTGCAAAATAATTACAATTTAGTATTAACACTGGAATGATGTGCAAGAGATGATGTGCAAATAGAGATACTGGGGTACAGATGAGCAAAATAAATAACAATATAGGGATGAGGTAGTTGGGCGGGCTAATTTCAGATGGGCTGTGTACAGGTGCAGTGATCGGTAAGGTGCTCTGACAACTGATGCTTAAAGTTAGTGAGGGAGATAAGTGTCTCCAGCTTCAGAGATTTTTGCAATTTGTTCCAGTCATTGGCAGCAGAGAACTGGAAGGAATTGCGGCCAAAGGAGGTGTTGGCTTTGGGGATGACCAGTGAGATATACCCGCTGGAGCGCAGACTACGGGTGGGTGTTGCTATGGTGACCAATGAGCTAAGATAAGGCGGGGATTTGCCTAGCAGTGATTTATAGATGGCCTGGAGCCAGTGGGTTTGGCGACGAATATGTAGTGAGGACCAGCCAACAAGAGCGTACAGGTCACAGTGGTGGGTATTATATGGGGCTTTGGAGACAAAACGGATGGCACTGTGATAGACAACATCCAATTTGCTGAGTAGAGTGTTGGAGGCTATTTTGTAAATGACATCGCCGAAGTCGAGGATCGGTAGGATAGTCAGTTTTTTACGAGGGCATGTTTGGCAGCATGAGTGAAGGAGGCTTTGTTGCGAAATAGGAAACCGATTCTAGATTTAACTTTGGATTGGAGATTCTTAATGTGAGTCTGGAAGGAGAGTTTACAGTCTAACCAGACACCTAGATATTTGTAGTTGTCCACGTACTCTAGGTCAGACCCGTCTAGAGTAGTGATTCTAGTCGGGTGGGCGGGTGCAAGCAGCGTTCGGTTGAAGAGCATGCATTTTGTTTTACTAGTGTTTAAGAGCAGTTGGAGGCTACTGAAGGAGTGTTGTATGGAATTGAAGCTCGTTTGGAGGTTTGTTAACACAGTGTCCAATGAAGGGCTGCGTAGAGGTGGATCTGAGAGTCACCAGCAGCAAGAGCGACGTCATTGATATACACAGAGAAAAGAGTTGGCCCAAGAATTGAACCCTGTGGCACCCCCATAGACTGCCATAGGTCCAGACAACAGGCCCTCCGATTTGACACATTGAACTCTATCTGAGAAGTAGTTGGTGAACCAGGCGAGGCAGTCATTTGGGAAACCAAGGCTATTTAGTCTGCCAATAAGAATGCGGTGGTTGACAGAGTCGAAAGCCTTGGCCAGGTCAATGAAAACGGCTGCACAGTACTGTCTATTATCGATCGCGGTTATAATATCATTTAGGACCTTGAGCGTGGCTGAACTGCACCCATGACCAGCTCGGAAACCGGATTGCATAGCGGAGAAGGTACGGTGGGATTCGAAATGGTTGGTGATTTGTTTGTTGACTTGGCTTTCAAAAACTTTTGAAAGGCAGGGCAGGATGGATATGGGTCTGTAACAGTTTGGGTCTAGAGTGTCACCCCCTTTGAAGAGGGGGATGACCGCGGCAGCTTTCCAATCTCTGGGGATCTCAGACGTTACGAAAGAGAGGTTGAACAGGCTAGTAATAGGGGTTGCGACAATTTCGGCGGCTAGTTTTAGAAAGAAAGGGTCCAGATTGTCTAGTCCAGATGATTTGTAGGGGTCCAGATTTTGCAGCTCTTTTAGAACATCAGCTGTCTGGATTTGTGTGAAGGAGAAGCGGGGGGGGGGCATGGGCAAGTTGCAGCGGAGGGTGCAGAGCTGGTGGCCGGGGTAGTGGTAGCCAGGTGGAAAGCATGGCCAGCCGTAGCAAAATGCTTGTTGAAATTCTCGATTATTGTAGATTTATCGGTGGTGATAGTGTTTCCTAGCCTCAGTGCAGTGGGCAGCTGGGAGGAAGTACTCTTATTTTCCATGGACTTTACAGTGTCCCAAAACTTTTTGGAGTTAGTGCTACAGGATGCAAATTTCTGTTTGAAAAAGTTAGCCTTTGCTTTCCTAACTGCTTGTGTATATTGGTTCCTAACTTCCCTGAAAAGTTGCATATCACGGGGGCTATTTGATGCTAATGCAGTACGCCACAGGATGTTTTTGTGCTGGTCAAGGGCAGTCAAGTCTGAGGAGAACCAGGGGCTATATCTGTTCTTAGTTCTGTATTTTTTTAATGGGGCATGTCTATTTAAGATTGAGAGGAAATTACTTTTAAAGAACAACCAGGCATCCTCTACTGACTGAATGAGATCTATATCCATCCAGGATACCTGGGCCAGGTCAATTAGGAAGGCCTGCTCGCTGAAGTGTTTTTGGGAGCGTTTGACAGTGATGAGGGGTGGTCGTTTGACCGCGGACCCGTTACGGACGCAGGCAATAAGGCAGTGATCGCTGAGATCCTGGTTGAAGACAGCGGAGGTGTATTTAGAGGGTAAGTTAGTCAGGATGATATCTATGAGGGTACCCATGTTTACGGATTTAGGGTTGTACCTGGTAGGTTCGTTGATAATTTGCGTGAGGTTGAGGGCATCTAGCTTGGATTGTAGGATGGCTGGGGTATTAAGCATATCCCAATTTAGGTCACCAAGCAGTACGAACTCTGAGGATAGATGGGGGGCAATCAATTCACATATGGTGTCCAGGGCACAGCTGGGGGCTGAGGGGGGTCTGTAGCAAGCGGCAACAGTGAGAGATTTATTTCTGGAAAGGTGGATTTTCAGAAGTAAAAGCTCAAACTGTTTGGGCACAGACCTGGATAGTATGATGGAGCTCTGCAGGCTATCTCTACAGTAGATTGCAACTCCACCCCCTTTGGCAGTTCTATCTAGACGGAAAATGTTATAGTTGGGGATGGACATTTCAGAATTTTTGGTGGCCTTCCTAAGCCAGGATTCAGACACTGCTAGAACATCAGGGTTGGCGGAGTGTGCTAACGCAGTGAATACAGTAATCCCTCGTTTATCGCGGGGGTTACGTTCCGAAAATGACCCGCGATAAGTGAAATCCGCGAAATAGAAAACTTTTTTTTTTTACAATTAGCAACTATTACATGTATACAAATACAGTGACTCACGTGTAGGCCGTTTCACTGCTCTTCAGACTGGGCCGCTGCATCCTGACTGCGCTCTGCAGTGTTCTCTTCTTCTGAAGCCCGCGGTGCAGGTGTGTTTGTTCGGGAGAAGAACATAGTGATAGGCAGCTGTTGTCGCTCTTTTTTCTTCTTTGCAAAAAGATCCTTGTACACCGACATGCCACCATCGATTACGTTGGAGAACTGTAATGAACGGCTCATCAAAGGGTCCCATTCCTCAGCTACTCGCTTAAGTTCAGTGGCCATTCGCACCATGGTTGCTAAGCGACCAAGCGTTAGTCCTTCCTCCTCATCTCTCTTGTCCTCTTCTCCCTCTTCTCTTTCATCGTCGCTTTGTGGCTTTGTCATTTACCTTCCCTTAGCATGTCCAGAAGTTTAACTTTATCTGAGATAGGTAGCATCTTCCGCCGTTTGGGCCCATCCGCAGGTGCTTTTGTCGGTCCAGGCCGTTTCGTCGACATTATGGGTTTAGGAGATGTTCGAAATTACAAGATAATTTGGCCAACTTAATGTAAATTTGCCAAGCTGTTTTATGTACGTACACATAACTGCACGAGACGACAAAATGATAGCACAATTCGTAGCATGTTTTGATACAAGAAGCGGGAGTGAGTTTTTAGCGAATCAGAATGCAGAGCACAATGCACCAAAAAAAAAAAAAATGCATTATGAAAATCCGCGAAATAGCGAATCCGCGATAAGTGAACCGCGAAGTGGCGAGGGATCACTGTAACTCAAATTTAGGAAGGAGGCTTCTGATATTTATGTGCAGAAAACCAAGACTTTTACGGTTACAGAAGTCAACAAATGATAGCTCCTGGGGAGTAGGAGTGATACTGGGGGCTGCAGGGCCTGGGTTAGCCTCTACATCACCAGAGGAACAGAGGAGGACTAGAATAAGGATACGACTAAAGGCTTTAAGAACTGGTCTTCTAGTGCGTTGGGTACATAGAATAAAGGGGGCAGATTTCCGGGCGTTGTAGAATAGATTCAGGGCATTATGTACAGAAAAGGATATGGAAGGATATGAGTACAGTTCAGGTAATCCTAAGTGTTGGGTAACAATGAAAGAGATAGCGTCATTGGAGGCATCGATTGAGCCGGTCTCGGCGTGTATGGGGGGAGGAACAAAGGAACTATATGAGACAGTTTGAGAGGGACTAGGGGTTCTACATTGAAATTGTATAATAAGAACTAACCCAAACAGCAATAGGCAAGGCATAATTGACATGGGAGAGAGGCATAAAGCAGTCACGTGTTATTAGAGAACATGGCTCCACGATATGATTCACCGTTACTTTTTATCTTTAAGTTGTGATTATGATACTGTCATCAGGATGTTTCCATTATACATCAATTTTCAGCAATACCATTTGTTCCCTGATAATTAGATTATACAGTATACCTGGTTTGCTTAGACACCATGGTCTTCTGAACATCCCTCTCTGTGATCTGATCTGACCTGTAGCAGATGAACCCTGAGATGCAGGAAGAGCTGCTGATGCTGCTGCGTAACCAGCAGAGGGAACTAGCGGATCTCCGTCAGAGTCAGCTGGAGCTGCTGCAGAGAGTGACGGGCCACATGGACGCTGTGCAGAGCTCTGTCATAGCCCATGTAGAGCACGTCATGGTCAGCCAGCAGGAGCACGAACGTATCCTTACAACTGGGACATGTCACAAATTACAATCAGTGCCAACTCCAAGACCTCCCTCTGTAGTGGTACCATTGAAAATTATTTAGTTTGGTATGATCACTGCGATATACACTGAAATATACGCCAAAAGTATGTGGACACTCCTTCAAATTAGATGATTCGGCTATTTCAGCCACACCCGTTGCTGACAGGTGTATAAAATCAAGCACACAGCCATGCAATCTCCATAGACAAACGTACTGAAGAGCTCAGTGAAATCTTAACACTACAGCAAACAATGACATTCTAGACAATTCTGTGCTTCCAACTTTGTGGAAACAGTTTGGGGTAGGCCCTTTCCTGTTTCAGCATGACAATGCCCCCGTGCACAAAGCGAGGTACATACAGAAATTGTTTGTTTAGATCGGTGTAGAAGAACTTGATTGGCCTGCACAGAGCCCTGACCTCAACCCCATCGAACACCTTTGGGATGAATTGGATCGCCGACTGCGAGCCAGGCCTAATCGCCCAACATCAGTGCCCGACCTCACTATTGCTCTTGTGGCTGAATGGACGCAAGTCCCCGCAGCAATATTCCAACATCTAGTGTAAAGCCTTCCCAGAAGAGTGGAGGCTGTTATAGCGGCAAAGGGGGGACCAACTCCATATTAATGCCCATGATTTTGGAATGAGATATTCGACAAGAAGGTGTCCACATACCTTTGGCCAAATATTGTAAAGGGCAGTGTTTTGAATGCAGGTATTGTAGTTTAAATGGATAAAAATTCACATGAATAAAGATGCTTTTCACATCTAGAAAGGTGCCTAATTAAAGCTGCAATATGTAACTTCTCAGGCGATCTGACCCAAATCAAATTTTATTTGCCTCATGCGCCGAATACAACAGGTGTAGACATTACCGTGAAATGCTTACTTACAGCCCTTAACCAACAATGCATTTATTTTTTAATAAAAAAGTAAAATAAAACAACAACAAAAAGTGTAATTAAAGAGCAGAAGTAAAATAAAATAACGTACTGGACAAAGATGTTTTCTTTAACGAGTCAGACGAAAATTATTTTCTTAAGACACCCGACAAGGCCCAAATCCCCGTCATTCGCATGAGAGAGAGACCGAGATACCGGGGACGTAGGTCGGGGTGCTTTGTAAGGATCCGACGGCGAGTGGGTAATCTGCATCTACCATCAGTCCTATTAGCCAACGTACAATCATTGGATAACAAAATAGACGAACTACGATCACAGATATCCTACCAACGGGACATTAAAAACGAGCTTATGTTTCACTGAGTTGTGGCTAAATGACGAAATGGATAACATACAGCTGGCGGGATATACGCTACATCGTCAAGATGGAACAGCTGCCTCCGGTAAGACGAGGGGTGTATATTTCTAAACAACAGCTGGTGCGCGATGTCTCATAAACTGTAGACCACACTATTTACCAAGAGAGTTTTTTTCTATATTTTTCGTAGCTGTCTATTTACCACCACAAATCGATGCTGGCAATAAGACCGCACTCAATGAGCTGTATAAGGCCATAAGCAAATAGGAAAACGCTAATCCAGAGGTGGCGCTCCTAGTGGCCGAGGACTTTAATGCAGGGAAACTTAAATCAGTTTGACCTAATTTCTACCAACATGTTAAATGTGCAACCGGAGGGAAAAAAACTCTAGACCACCTTTACTTCACACACAGACGCGTACAAAGCTCTCCCTCGCCCAAATCTGACCATAACTCTATCCTCCTGATTCCTGCTTACAAGTAAAAACTAAAGCATGAAGCACCAGTGACTCGGTCAATAAAGAAGTGGTCAGATGACACAGATGCTACGCTACACGACTGTTTTGCTAGCAGAGACTGGAATATGATCCGAGATTCTTCCGATGGCATTGAGGAGGACACCACATCAGACACTGGCTTCATCAATAAGTGCATCAATGACGTCGTCCCCACAGTGACCGTACGTACATACGCCAACCAGAAGCCATGGATTAAAGGCAACATCCGCACTGAGCTAAAGGGTAGAGCTGCCGCTTTCAAGGAGCGGCACTCTAACCCGGACGCTTATAAGAAATTCTGCTATGCCCTCCGACGAACCAACAAACAGGCAAAGCTTGTCGGATGTGGCAGGGCATGCAAACTATTACGGACTACAAAGGGAAGCACAGCCGCGAGCTGCCAAGTGACACGAGCGTACCAGACGAGCTAAATTACTTCTATGCTCGTTTTGAGGCAAGCAACACTGAAGCATGCATGAGAGCATCAGCTGTTCCGGACGACCGTGTGATCACGCTTTAAACAGGTCAACATTCACAAGGCCGCAGGGCCAGACGGATTACCAGAAGGTGTACGCCGAGCATGCGCTGACCAACTGGCAAGTGTCTTCACTGACATTTTCAACTTGTCCCTGACTTAGTCTGTAATACAAACATGTTTCAAGCAGACAACCATAGTCCCTGTGCCCAAGAACACTAAGGTTAACCTGCCTAAATGACTACAGACCCGTAGCACTGACGTCTATAGCTATGAAGTGCTTTGAAAGGCTGGTCATGGCTCACATCAACACCATTATCCCAGAAACCTTAGACCCACTCCAATTTGCATACCGCCCCAGCAGATCCACAGATGATGCAATCTCAATTGCACTCCACACTGCCCTTTCCCACCTGAACAAAAGGAACACCTACGTGAGAATGCTATTCATTGACTACAGCTCAGCGTTCAACACCATAGTGCCCTAAAAGCTCATCACTAAGCTAAGTACCCTGGGACTAAACACCTCTGCAACTGGATCCTGGACTTCCTGACGGGCCGCCACCAGGTGGTTAGGGTAGGCAACAGCATCTGCCACGCTGATCCTCAACACGGGGGCCCCTCAGGGGTGCGTGCTCAGTCCCCTCCTGACAACGATCAGGCAGCCTATAGGGAGGAGGTCAGAGACCTGGCCGTATGGTACCAGGATAACAAACTCTCCCTCAACGTGATCAAGACAAAGGAGATGATTGTGGACTACAGGAAAAGGAGGACCGAGCGCGCCCCCATTCTCATTGACGGGGCTGTAGAGGAGCAGGTTGAGAGCTTCAAGTTCCTTGGTGTCCACATCGCCAACAAACTATCATGGACCAAACACACCAAGACTGCAGTGAAGAGGGCATGACAAAGCCTATTCCATTTACATTTACATTTACGTCATTTAGCAGACGCTCTTATCCAGAGCGACTTACAGTTAGTGAATACATATATATATATATATATATATATATATATATATATATATATATATATATATTTTTATACTGGCCCCCCGTGGGAATCGAACCCACAACCCTGGCGTTGCAAACGCCATGCTCTATCAACTGAGCTACATCCCTGCCGGCCATTCCCTCCCCTACCCTGGACGACGCTGGGCCAATTGTGCGCCGCCCATGAGTCTCCCGGTCGCGGCCGGTTGCGACAGAGCCTGGATTCGAACCAGGATCTCTAGTAGCACAGTTAGCACTGCGATGCAGTGCCTTAGACCACTGCGCCACTCAGGAGACTGGAGACAGTACACTTCCTTCCTTTTTCCTATTCCCCCTCAGGAGACTGAAAAGATTTGGCATGGGTCCTCAGATTCTCTAATAATTCTACAGCTGCACCATCGAGAGCATCCTGACTGGTTGCATCACTGCCTGGCATGGCAGCTGATCGGCCTCCGACCGCAAGGCACTACAGAGGGAGTGCGTACGGCCCAGTACATCACTGTGGCCAAACTTCCTGACATCCAGGACCTCTATACCAAGTGGTGTCAGAGGAAGACCCTAAAAATGGTCAAAGACTCCAGCCACCCTAGTCATAGACTGTTCTCTCTGCTACCGCACGACAAGTGGTACCGGAGCGCAAAAGTCTAGGTCCAAAAGGCTTCTCAACAGCTTCTACCCCCAAGCCATAAGACTCCTGAACAGCTAATCAAATGGCTACCCAGACTATTTGCATTGTCCCACCCCACCTCCTCTTTTACGCTGCTGCTACTCTGTTTATTATCTATGCATAGTCACTTTAAATCTACTTACATGTACATATTACCTCAATAACCTCGACTAACCTGTGCCCCCGCACATTGACTCTGTACCGGTACCGCCTGTATATAGCCTCCCTACTGTTATTTTATTTTACTGCTGCTCTTTAAGTATTTATTTTTTACTTGACACTAATTTTTCTTAACTGCATTGTTGGTTAAGGGCTTGTAAGTAAGCATTTCACTGTAAGGTTTACACCTGTTGTATTTCGCGCGTGACAAATACAATTCTATTTGCATATTGTATCTTTAAGGCCATAGTTTTGTTGCAGAAGCACATCCTCATCAACCCACCACACAAGTTGCTCTGTGTTTGATCCTTGACCCGGCATTGATTCTCAGAGAGGAGAATGGAGAGAATCCTAGCTGAGGGACACAACCGTAACCAGCAACTCCAGGAGCATCTCTCCCAGCAGCTGGCTCAAACTCTCAACAACACCCTGTGTAACCGTCTGGACAAGACTCTCCGAGAGGAGATGAAGAAGACCGTTCCTCCCAGTCAGTACACTTCCTTCCTTTTTCCTAACTTATTTGATAGTTTTTATCAAATAAAGTGTTTAACTGTGTATAATCAATGTGAGGTAAATGTTTGGCCTTGCTACTTCACAGCTATCATCAAGAGTCTGGAGCCTGTTACTGCCCAGATGAGTAACACCATCGCTGCTAAGCTGACAGCTGTGGAGGCAGCACTGAAGGAGAATGTTAGCAAAGTCGTCAAGTCAAAGGTTAGTGGCAACAAATTCAGATCATTGTCTCTAGACCAGTGTTTCCCAAAGACCCGATGTGGTGTTGCCTGATTTGAAAATGGGGTTGCGAGAGAAACTCTGGGGAAGAAAAAAATATGCGCTGCTTAGTTCATAGAACCACGTCACGTGACTTACCTTCGATATTCACTTATAGCAGTTGTGACAGCGGTTTCGGTTTTCTTCCTACAAATGTGGCTCAACGTTTTTAACAATGGGGGCTATAAGCTATTATGACCCCATTTTCTGAAGGCTAAGACACGCACATGTTTTATCTTTCCCTCTACAATACTCACAAGCCCTGCAGGAGTTGTTAGAACAGAGTGGACAGGACCATGCGCCAAATGACTGGGGAGAGGAAAGAACATCATCATTGAAAGCAATGATGTTATTTTCTACACAAAAGATCATACGCAATTATTGCCTGATCTTCCTTGATGTTTTCCTAAACTTTCCAATACCTTTCTGATGCATTTCAGTCACTTCAAACCAAGGGTTGTAACCTGTTCAGGAACAGAACCGAAAAGAACGAAAGTGATCTATACCTCCGTTATTTAATAATGTTATTTTACGTTCCAGGCTTATTATTATTATTTTTTTAATCGGAACAAATCGTCTATGCAAATCTTTGCCTGTGTGTAGGCTACGTGCCCCTCCCCTCTGAAGCATAGGTTACTGTAGCGTACTGACAACGTTACTAACGTAATTCAGAAATTAGGGAGAGATGCTTAATTAGAGAAGAATGGATTGACTTTTTAAATGATAGTTAAGGATACTATAATTATCATGTTTCACATTTGATTTATTACCTACAAAAGGGTAAGACGTGTTTTAATTCTTGTGCTACTCTGAAAACACAAGCTTGTTAGCTTGCTAGCTAACGTTGGCTCAGGTCCAACGTTAAACCAACTCGGAAGTTCAAAGACAATCAAAGTTCCTCCATAGAAGCCACTCCTTGTAGGTATACAGTGGCTTGTGAAAGTATTGCCTTAGAATTTTGAATTAAAATTGATTTTTGGGGGGTTTGTATCATTTGATTTACACAACATGCCTACCACTTTGAAGATGCTAAATATTTTTTTGTGTCAAATCAAATTGTATTTGTCACATGCGTGAAATACAACAGGTGTAGACCTTACAGTGAAATGCTTACTTACAAGCCCTTAACCAACAATGCGGTTTTAAGAAAGAATACCAAAAACAATCACAAAAAATACAATATAAAATAATACAAAATAAAAGTAACAAATAATTAAAGCGCCGCAGGAAAAATAACAATAGCGAGGCTATATACAGGGGGTACCGGTACCGACTCAATGTGCGGGGGCACCAGTTAGTCGAGGTAATTGGGGTAATATGTACATGTAGGTAGAGTTATTAAAGTGACTATGCATAGATAATAAACAGCGTAGCAGCAGCGTAAAAGAGGGGTGGGGAGGGAATGCAAATAGTCTGGGTAGCCATTTGATTAGATGTTCAGGAGTCTTATGGTTTGGGGGTAGAAGCTGTTTAGAAGCCTCTTGGACCTAGACTTGGCGCTCCGGTACCGCTTGCCGTGCGGTAGCAGAGAGAACGGTCTATGGCTAGGGTGGCTGGAGTCTTTTGACCATTTTTAGGGCCTTGCTCTGACACTGCCTGGTATAGAGGTCCTGGATGGCAGGAAGCTTGGCCCCAGTGATGTACTTGGCCGTACGCACTACCCTCTGTAGTGCCTTGCGGTCAGAGGCCGAGCAGTTGCCATACCAAGCAGTGATGCAACCAGTCAGGATGCTCTCGATGGTGCAGCTGTAGAATCTTTTGAGGACCTGAGGACCCATGCCAAATATTTTCAGTCTCCTTAGGTGGAATAGGTTTTGTCGTGCCCTCTTCACGACTGTCTTGGTGTGCTTTGACCATGTTAGTTTGTTGGTGATGTGGACACCAAGGAACATGAAGCTCTCAACCTGCTCCACTACAGCCCCGTCTATGAAAATGGGGAGTGCTCGGCCCTCTTTTTTTTCCCCTGTAGTCCACAATCATCTCCTTTGTCTTGATCACGTTGAGGGAGAGGTTGTTGTCCTGACACTACACGGCCAGGTCTCTGACCTCCTTCCTATAGGCTGTCTCGTCGTTGTCGGTGATCAGGCCTACCACTGTTGTGTCATTGGCAAACTTAATGATGGTGTTGGAGTCGTGCCTGGCCATGCAGTCATGAGTGAACAGGGAGTACAGGAGGGGACTGAGCAAGCACCCCTGAGGGGCCCCCGTTACCTACCCTTACCACCCGGGGGCGGCCCGTCAGGAAGTCCAGGATCCAGTTGCAGAAGGTGTTTAGTCCCAGGGTCCTTTTTCATGGTGCTGCTGGCTTGGTGGTGCCCCTTGCTTAGTGGTGTTGCAGACTCTGGGGCCTTTCAGAACAGGTGTGTGTATATATACTGAGATCATGTGACACTTAGATTGCACACAGGTGGACTTTATTTAACTAATATGTGACTTCTGAAGGTAATTGGTTGCACCAGATCTTATTTAGCAAAGGGGGTGAATAAAATGCACACACCACTTTTCCGTGATTTGTTTTTCATTTCACGTCACCAATTTGGACTGTTTTGTGTATGTCCATTTACATGAAATCCAAATAAAAATCCATTTAAATTACAGGTTGTAATGCAACAAAATAGGAAAAACGCCAAGGGGGGATATGAATACTTTTGCAAGGCACTGTAATTCTGTGGGCATAATTCAGATAATGCATGTCATAACAAGATATCCAGCGTTTCAAGGCAAGCTTCCTCATTCTCACTTGCTCTCGCCTCACTCTCAAAATTTAAGTTGCATCTCGCGCCCTACACTGTGACTGGCAGCACAGTGTGTTTGTCTTTCATTATGATTAAAACATGCTGTTACGGCAAAATACAATTTGCTCTTAACGACTTTCCTATACAGATTAAGTCGCTTACCCGCTTCACAGCAAGCTGATCTATCTGCACTGATTGGTGAAGTAATTGAATGTTGAGCTAAATGTGTAAAAAAAATAGTATATTTCAGAGGTTTTAAAAGGAATTATTTTAACTGGTACTTTTGGTTCGAACCAGTTCAAAACGTTATTTTGCTAGTCGGAACAGTGGAACGAAACAAACAAAGTAATGGTTCTGTTCGTAACGAAACGATTGGAAAATAATTTAGGTTCCAACCCCTGCTTCTCAAACTATACTTCCTTCAGATTTAATTTGAAATACTCTCAAAAATATTGTCGGACTGATTTGTAATTGTTATGATGAGTTTCTGGTATTGAGAAGTTCAGAATGCAAGAGAGTATGTTACACAGATGGAGATTGGTTTCAGTCATCATTTAATGGTCACTATTGGATTTAATGACAGGGGGTACGGACATAGCCTCCTGCCATCTGAATGACTTCTATACAAAATCTCTCATCTTATATAATGCCATTCCAATCTACTTTTATCCCACACAGTTGCTACTAACCAGCATTGAGTGTCACTCATCCACCACCATATCCACCTACTTGGTATAATGTGGCACCCTAGCCAGGCCATTCCATCACGCACCTATCCTCAGATTTGCAACAGGGGCCCCCAATCTATCTTGGCACACTGACCTTCTGTTCCTCACTCGTGACACCAATAACACATGATGTGTCCTTGTTCTCTGTCCACATACAGCTTCATACATTAATGAATATTGTGTCACAAATCATCATAACAGTAATATACTGTCATAGCCCGAAATTAAAAACATTGGCTGTTGATTACATCACTTTTTCACACAGTGGGGCTGCAAAAGATTTCTGATATCAAAATGGGGTTGTGGGACAAAGTTAAAAATGCCCTCTGCTCTAGAGCCTAGGTTGGTCATTGGATCAAAGGATGTAAAGTAATCTCATAGCTCACTTATTCACTCTTCAGTCAAAATGCACACATAACAATTACTTTATCCCTTTCTGTGCAGAACACCACAGATGCTATCGGCCGGGCAGCTGCCGAGGCAATGCAGGGGCCTATCCAGGCTGCCTACAAGGATGCGTTCCAGAGCATTGTGCTGCCTGTGTTTGAGAGGGGCTGCCAGTCTATGTTCCAGCAGATCAATGACAGCTTCAAGCAGGGCACCCATGAGTGTATGACAATCCTATTACTAACTGTTAACCCTCAGCATTTCAGGCTGTTTCTTCACTTTCACCCGAGAGCAAGGTTAAAGACGTAGCCTACTTTTTAACTTGCTGCATTTGTCATATGTCTATTTTAAGAAGAGCAGTGGGCTTTGTATGCATTGATAAACATTTGCTATATTAGTTTTTTCAGCTGATTTTTAAATTGTGCTAAACGCACATCTGAATATGCCTGACAGATCTTTCTGTGTCGTACTGAGGATGTTTGTTTGTTTTCCTCTGTAGATATCCAGCAACTGGAGACCCATGTGAAGAACAGGAAGCAGCATGAGCAGGAGGCACGGGACCCTATGATTGGCCAGCTGCAGCAGATGATTGACACGTTCCAGAATTCTACGGATCAGCTGGCCACCACCGTCACAGCAGGGGTCCGCTCTGAGGTCCAGCACCAGCTCCACATGACGGTGGGAAAGTAAGTCCGGCCAACAAAGCTTTTTATCTTTTTTATAAGTGATTGATCAGACATACCCAATAGATGCCTTAGCAAGCCGTTTGGGTTGCCATATTGAGTGGCTGTGTAATGGATTGGTTGAGTAGAAAAACAAACACCTTAATCCTGGGCTTAATTTCGATTTAACCACAAATTGTGCAAAGCAATTAATGACATAGTGCTTGAGTTTATATAGTTTCTTAGGTTGGACTGAATAACTTTTTGTAAGTGTTTTGGATCGTAAAAATGTGTTTTCAGGCATTTAGAGTGCATTCGGAAAGTATTCAGACCCCTTGACCTTTTCCACATTTTGTTAAATTACAGCCTTATTCTAAAATGGATTAAATAGTTTACCCCCCTCATCAATCTACACACAATACCCTTTCCAAACAAAAACAGGTTTGTAGACATTTTTGCAAATGTATTTTTAAAAAAACATGAAAATTATTATATTTACATAAGTATTCAGACCCTTTGCTCTGTACTTTTTTAACGCACCTTTGGCAGTGATTACAGCCTCAAATATTATTGGGTATGAAGCTTGACAGACCTATATTTGGGGAGTTTCTCTCATTCTTCTCTGCAGATCCTCTCAAGCTCGGTCAGGTTGGATAGGCAGCTATTTGCAGGTCTCTCCAGAGATGTTTGATCGGGTTCAAGTCAGGGCTCTGTCTGGGCCACTCAAGGACATTGAGACTTGTCCCGAAGCCACTCCTGCGTTGTCTTGGCTGTGTGCTTAGGGTCGTAGTCCTTTTGGAAGGTGAACCTTCGCCCCAGTCTGAGCGCTCTGGAGCAGGTTTTCATCAAGGATCTCTCTGTACTTTGCTACGTTAATCTTTCCCTCGATCCTGACTAGTCCCCCAGCCGCTGAAAAACGTACCCCCAGGATGATGCTGCCACCACTTTGCTTCACCGTAGGGATGGTGCCAGGTTTCCTTCAGACGTGACGTTTGGCATTCAGGCCAAATAGTTCAATCTTGGTTTCATCAGACCAGAGAATCTTGTTTCTCACGGTCTTAGAATCCTTTAGGTGCGTCTTGGCAAACTCCAAGCAGGCTGTCGTGCCTTTTACTGTGGAGTGGCTTCCGTCTGGCACTCTACCTTAAAGGCCTGATTGGTGGAGTGCTGCAGAGATGGTTGTCCTTCTGGAAGGTTGTCCCATCTCCATAGAGGAGCTCTGTCAGTGACCATCGGGTTCTTGGTCACATCCCTGAACAAGGCCCTTTTCCCCCGATTGCTCAGTTTGGCCGGGCAGCCAGCTCTACGAAGAGTCTTGGTGGTTCCAAACTTCTTCTGCTTTTAAGAATGATTGAGGCCACTGTGTTCTTGGACCTTCAATGCAGCAGAAATGTTTTGGTACCCTTCCCCATATCTATGCCTCGACACAATCCTGTCTTGGAGTTCTACGGACAATTCCTTCGACCTCATGGCTTGGTTTTTGCTCTGATATGCTGTGGGACCTTTATATAGACCGTTGTATGCCTTTCCAAATCATGTCCAATCAATTGAATTTACCACAGGTGGACTCCAAGTTGTAGAAACATCTCAAGGATGATCAATGGAAACAGGATGCACCTGAGCTCAATTTCGAGTCTCATAGCAAAGGGTCTGAATACTTATGTAAATAAGGTATTTCCATTCTTAGTTGTTGTTTTTTTGCAAAAATGTCTAAACCTGTTTTCGCTTTGTCATTGTGGGTTATTGTGTGTAGAATGATGAGGGGGAAACATTTATTTAATCCATTTTAGAATAAGGCTGTAACGTAACAAAATGTGGAAAAAGTCTAGGGGTCTGAATACTTTCCAAATGCACTGTAAATGTTTTGATAGTATTCCTTGGTTATAGAACTGTGCCTGTTTGCTTCTGTCCTGCATCCAGCCTGCAGGAATCGATCCTGACCCAGGTGCAGCGCATAGTGAAGGGTGAGGTGAGCATGGCCATGAAGGAGCAGCAGGCAGCTGTGACCTCCAGCATCATGCAGGCCATGCGCTCTGCTGCAGGCACGCCCATCCCTACCGCACACCTGGACTACCAGGCCCAGCAGGCCAACATCCTGCAGCTGCTGCAGCAGGGACAGCTCAACCAGGCCTTCCAACAGGTGAGGGTCCTGCTCCCCGATGCACCTCCATAGGCTTGGGCAGTATACTGTGACATGTATAGCGGGGTATTTGGGGAAAAAACACGGTATGGTTTTTCATTACCGTCAAAACTATTTAAAAACTACGTTTTTCAAGTAATTTGAATATTTGAAGCTACTTTTTAAGTTGATACCTGCAGTCAACTTGTGCAATATGTTAGGAGATAAAGCAGATTGCATTCTTCATTTCACCTGTCACATTATTTTACATTATGACGCTTACTGTAGTTCCCCAGAACAGTTGAGCCAGTCACGTGTTTGTTTGTAAATAGCACAACGGGAGAAAGCAGGAGCTGGTGAGTCCATAGCGTTCTATATGTATAGGCAATTCTCTGTTGTGCGGCGCACATGAGGTGATGAAGTTACACTTGTATGCAATTCACTACTAAATGTTTGCCATCAGATATCTTAAAATGGCTTTTTGCCTGAAGTCAAAGAACTCTGGATGAGTTATATGTACAGTTGCAATTTTTTCCCTACTACCGTTTTTTTCTCCTCCATTCTTCTCCCCTCTGCTCCGTGTACACATGCTGCTCTTCCTTCAGAAAAGCATGCATCACAACTTTGTTCATTTGCACAATTTATCTCGTTCGCTTGTAAATGTCCACACTCACCGAAAATGACATTTGGTAGCTACTAGCTATGCTTGTATAACTTTGAGCTGGATTTGCCCGTCTTTGCAATTAGTTATGTTTGTTTTCGCACGTTAGCATTTAGCTAACAGCATCTATGTGATTTCGTTGTTAGTTTGTTATAATTTTGTTAGTATTCTGGTAAGAGGCACAATGGGCTTTTCTTGCCTTTTTAGCGCCCCTTGTGTACTATGCCGGTAATACTGTAAATCCCGGGATGAGAAAAGGTTGGTACAGTGGGGAAAAAAAGTATTTAGTCAAATCAAATCAAAATCAAATTTTATTGGTCACATGCGCCGAATACAACAGGTGCAGACATTACAGTGAAATGCTTACTTACAGCCCTTAACCAACAGTGCATTTATTTTTAACAAAAAAAGTAAAAATAAAACAACAACAAAAAAAGTGTTGAGAAAAAAAAAGAGCAGAAGTAAAATATAATAACTGTAGGGAGGCTATATATACAGGGGGGTACCGGTGCAGAGTCAATGTGCGGGGGCACCGGCTAGTTGTGCCACCAATGTGCCACCAATTGTGCATGTTCTCCCACTTAAAAAGATGAGAGAGGCCTGTAATTTTCATCATAGGTACACGTCAACTATGACAGACAAAATGAGGGAAAAAAATCCAGAAAATCACATTGTAGGATTTTTTATGAATTTATTTGCAAATTATGGTGGAAAATAAGTATTTGGTCAATAACAAAAGTTTCTCAATACTTTGTTATATACCCTTTGTTGGCAATGACACAGGTCAAACGATTTCTGTAAGTCTTCACAAGGTTTTCACACACTGTTGCTGGTATTTTGGCCCATTCCTCCATGCAGATCTCCTCTAGAGCAGTGATGTTTTGGGGCTGTCGCTGGGCAACACGGACTTTCAACTCCCTCCAAAGATTTTCTATGGGGTTGAGATCTGGAGACTGGCTAGGCCACTCCAGGACCTTGAAATGCTTCTTACGAAGCCACTCCTTCGTTGCCCGGGCAGTGTGTTTGGGATCATTGTCATGCTGAAAGACCCAGCCACGTTTCATCTTCAATGCCCTTGCTGATGGAAGGAGGTTTTCACTCAAAATCTCACGATACATGGCCCCATTCATTCTTTCCTTTACACGGATCAGTCGTCCTGGTCCCTTTGCAGAAAAACAGCCCCAAAGCATGATGTTTCCACCCCCATGCTTCACAGTAGGTATGGTGTTCTTTGGATGCAACTCAGCATTCTTTGTCCTCCAAACACGACGAGTTGAGTATTTACCAAAAAGTTATATTTTGGTTTCAGCTGACCATATGACATTCTCCCAATCCTCTTCTGGATCATCCAAATGAACTCTAGCAAACTTCAGACGGGCCTGGACATGTACTGGCTTAAGCAGGGGGACACGTCTGGCACTGCAGGATTTGAGTCCCTGGCGGCGTAGTGTGTTACTGATGGTAGGCTTTGTTACTTTGGTCCCAGCTCTCTGCAGGTCATTCACTAGGTCCCCACGTGTGGTTCTGGGATTTTTGCTCATCGTTCTTGTGATCATTTTGACCCCACGGGGTGAGATCTTGCGTGGAGCCCCAGATCGAGGGAGATTATCAGTGGTCTTGTATGTCTTCCATTTCCTAATAATTGCTCCCACAGTTGATTTCTTCAAACCAAGCTGCTTACCTATTGCAGATTCAGTCTTCCCAGCCTGGTGCAGGTCTACAGTTTCTGGTGTCCTTTGACAGCTCTTTGGTCTTGGCCATAGTGGAGTTTGGAGTGTGACTGTTTGAGGATGTGGACAGGTGTCTTTTATACTGATAACAAGTTCAAACAGGTGCCATTAATACAGGTAACGAGTGGAGGACAGAGGAGCCTCTTAAAGAAGAAGTTACAGGTCTGTGAGAGCCAGAAATTTTGCTTGTTTGTAGGTGACCAAATACTTATTTTCCACCATAATTTGCAAATAAATTCCTTAAAAATCCTACAATGTGATTTTCTGGATTTTCTTTCCTCATTTCGTCTGTCATAGTTGACGTGTACCTATGATGAAAATTACAGGCCTCTCTCATCTTTTTAAGTGGGAGAACTTGCACAATTGGTGGCTGACTAAATACTTTTTTCCCCCACTGTATATGGATACCGCCCAAGCACCTACCCATCCCATCAGTCTCACAGCCTCTCCAGTCCACTGCATGGGGGGTGTCAGAGGGCATCATTTTAAAATGTACCTGTGGTGTCTGATCGTTCTCTTCTCCTCCAACCCCTCTCCCCTGTAGGCCCTGTCAGCCTCTGACCTGAACCTGGTCCTGTATGTGTGCGAGACCATCGACTCCCAGCAGGTGTTTGGCCAGCATCCCTGCCCCCTGATACAGCCAGTGCTGCTGTCCCTCATACAGCAGCTGTCCACTAACCTGGCCACACGCTCTGAGCTCAAGATCAGGTATGCATGCGCACCCACAGGAACATGCCACAACCCACATAGCTTTTACGCTCAAACTCTTCATAGACCCCTCTATGCACCCCTGCTGTAGACACTGGTTTGGTGCTGGAGACACTGGTTTGGTGCTGGAGATAATGAGGTTAATGAGGAGACAATGAGGTAGAAAAGTGGCAGAGTTGCCCTTTAAAGTTGCACTATGCTGAAATCGCTCCGCCCCGCCATTTCCTGGTTGCTGAAACTCTAATAGTTCGCCTAATTTCTGTTTATGTGACAAAATAAGATGGTACAATTATTCTCTACACTATACCATCTAAACCGCTGTGAAATATTTTTCCCATAACCAAAAATATTGTTTCAGCTGGTTGAAGCTGGTGCACAAAATCGAAAATACAGTGCATTCGGAAAGTATTCAGACCCCTTGACTTTTTCTGCATTTTGTTACGTTACGGCCTTATTCTCAAATGGATAGAATCGTTTTTTCCCCCTCATCAATCTACACACAATACCCCATAATGAAAAAGCAAAAACACTTTTTTTGAAATGTTTGCTAATTTATTAAAAATAAATAAAGGACATTTGTTTCCATGTACATAAGTATTCAGACCCTTTACTCAGTACTTTGTTGAAGCACCTTTGGCAGCTATTACAGCCTTGAGTCTTGTGTATGATGCTACAAGCTTGGCACACCTGTATTTGGGGAGTTTCTCCCATTCTTCTCTGCAGATCCCCTCAAACTCTTTCAGGTTGGATGGGGAGTGACGCTGCACAGCTATTTTCAGGTCTCTCCAGAGATGTTAGATCAGGTTCAAGTCCGGGCTCTGGCTGGGCCACTCAAGGACATTCAGAGACTTATCCCGAAGCCACTCCTGCGTTGTCTTTGCTATGTGCATAGGGTCGTTGTCCTGATGGAAGGTGAACCGTCACCCCAGTCTGAGTTCCTGAGAGCTCTGGAGAAGGTTTTCATCAAGGATCTCTCTGTACTTTGCTCTGTTCATATTTCCCTCGATCCTGACTAGTCTCCCAGTCCCTGCTGCTGAAAAACATCCCCACAGCATGATGCTGCCACCACCATGCTTCACCGTAGGGATGGTGCCAGGTTTCCTCCAGACGTGACGCTTGGCATTCAGGCCAAAGAGTTCAATCTTGGTTTCATTAGACCAGAGAATCTTGTTTCTCATGGTCGGCGAGTCCTTTAGGTGACTTTTGGCAAACTCCAAGCAGACTGTCATGTGCTTTTTACTGAGGAGTGGCTTCTCTCTGGCCACTACCATAAAGGCCTGATTGGTGGAGTGCTACAGAAATGGTTGTCCTTCTGGAAGGTTCTCCCATCTCCACAGAGGAACTCTCGAGCTCTGTCAGTGACCATCGGGTTCTTGGTCACCTCCCTGGTCAAGGCCCTTCTCCCCCGATTGCTCAGTTTGGCAGGGGGCCAGCTCTAGGAAGAGTATTGGTGGTTCCAAACTTCTTCCATTTAAGATGATGGAGGCCACTTTATTCTTGGGGACCTTCAATGCAGCAGAATTGTTTTGGTGCCCTTCCCCAGATTTGTGCCTCGACACAATCCTGTCTCGGAGCTCTACGGACAATTCGACCTCATGACTTAGTTTTTGCTCTGACATGCACTGTCAACTGTTGGACCTTTTTATATAGACAGGTTATGTGCCTTTCCAAATCATGTCCAATCAGTTGCATTTACCACAGGTGGACTCCAAGTTGTAGAAACATCTCAAGGATGATCAATGCAAACAGGATGCACCTGTGGTAAATGCAATTTTGAGTCTCATAGCAAAGGGTCTGAATACTTTTGTAAATAAGGTATTTATCTTTTTTTTTTTTTACATTTGTAAACGTTTCTAAAAACCTGTTTTTGCTTTGTCATTTAGACAGTATTTAATCAATTTTAGAATGAGGCTGTAACGTAACAAAGTGGAAAAAGTCAAAGGGTCTGAATACTTTCCAAATGCACTGTGAAAGACGCAAAAACTTAACTTAAGAACGGGAAGCATAGAAATAGATCACATAGAACATATCTACCGCTTCTTAGACTTACTTTCAAGTAAAATGATAGATCTATAACTCACATGTCTGTGAATTAGGCCGGGTCTCCCAAAAAGTTACATATTGCCACTTTAAGGCTCGGACACACCAGTAGCGTTTGCCGGCTTAGAGTACTTAGCACCTCTGAACAGAGCGCCGGATATAATTTGCAAACCGATTCTACATGTAGAATCACGCGAAAATGTCGGCAGTCAGACGTCAGGTGGTCCCTAGTATACCCCGCCGAACAAACTGCAGATCAACATTCGGTGCGGTGTGTGTGGTCCCTTAGTCACATTTATCAAACTGCAGCTGTAATGCTTTAAACCCGTCTGGACCACTTAACAAATGTGTGTTATGGGAACAGGATGGGCCTATGAATATGGGAATAATGTCCAGACAATGCCGTGCCAAGTCCCTTTTTAATGTTCTTTTAAAAGCTCAAATGACCAGTCTCAATCCAGTTTGAATTGCACCCTAAAAACTAGCAGCCTGATACTGGCCAGCTGTTGAGAGTTCTACACCATCTGTGGGACTGAATCTGTGTGGGTGGTGTGGCTACTGAAGCATTTGCATACAGTCCAATGCCTTAATGCATGGTATGAATGATCTTATGTGACCTCAAAATTGATGGACTGTTGCAGTGCAACTGTTTTAAACCAGGTGTGCAAGATATCACAGAAGAGATGTGCTGCTCTTGAATATTTCATATCTAATATCATGCACAATTGACATTGTGTGCAAGGGCTTTTAAGGGCATATCAGGTTCAGTAGAGAAGAGACCTGATAGGGCTGTCTGTTGTTCAAGGTGGGGGGGGGTTTGTTGCTGAAATTGGAGAGTAATCGGGCACTTTGACCATTGGGAGGTTAATGGCTCTTAAACTCCAAGATTACCATTGAGTTAACTGTGCTTAGAGGTTTTAAATGCATTGGATTGGGTCTACAGACGTAAAATTAGAACAATCTGATGTGATTCATTTGGGTTAAGCCATCTGGATTGGGTTAAGGGTACAGTGCTGCTGGGTGATCAGGGTCACAACGCTGCATTTACTGTTTTATTCAAGCCATTCAAATCTTTGCCTTCGGCTGCAAGGTAATATGGGTGACTGTCGGTACACGCAAGCCAATAACACTATTGGCTTAAATGGTACAATTTGAGTCTTCTGAAAGCCCACGGTAAACTTCTCTCTGTCTGTATCAGTTACTTGGAGGATGCTGTGATGAACCTGGACCATGGTGATCCGGTGACGAGAGACCACATGAGTACTGTGCTGTCCCAGGTCCGACAGAAGCTGATCCAGTTCCTGCAGCAGGACCCACACAGTCCTCTCAGCAAGAGAGCCCGGCGCCTGGTGATGATGCTTCAGGGCCTGGTCAATCACTAGTTCTGTACTTGATGCCCACTGATGGAGCCCCTTCTCTTCCTGCTCTGCTCCCATACAGTTAGAATAAGGTGCATTGAGTTTCATTGAGGTGCTGAGGGGAGCGGCATTTAGTTAAAGAGATGTGAATAATGGCTCTGAACTTCATGTACCCTCAGCTCTCTCTGATGCATTGTACATTGCAATTGAACATTTTGTGTGTTATCCTAATTTTTTAAGTGGAAAAAAATGGCAAGAGCCGACTGGGTTTTCCCTTTTTGGACTTTTAGATTGAAGGATTTTTCTCAGTTTGAAACCCCCTGTTCATCATAAGATCTATGAACCTTGCCATTCGCTTATTTCAGTCCTTTTCCCTGTCATAGCAGCAAGAGTTTATTAGAGAGAAAAAAACTATCCTAAATGTAGACAGTCGATATAGATGGATGGGCCCTTTATGTTCTATTATGTTTTCTGTATGTTCAACCATTCTGTTAAATCCAAAGTTCTGACTTTAGTTCAGTATGGTCTTTTGCTTTGAGGAACTTCTACAGTAGGCTTTGAATCCGCACTGTTAGTATTGTATTAAAGCTCTTTCCGATATATTAGACTGACCATATTACTATGTAAAGAGGACAGGAGTATGCTTGTGGAGTCTTAGAAACTGAAATGGTTATCTACTTGTACAGCTTTATAGAGTCTAGGTCAACTCTTTTGATGGAACCTCGATAAAATTCACTCATGCCCCTGAAAAAGGTTTTTCTTTTGTGCCCCTTTTTGTTATATACCAACAATCCTTAACATTTGTAGGACTAGTATACTTCCTCAAATACTTATTGAAGTAATTATGATCTATAGTAAATGCTTCTAACAAATGACTATTGTTATTGATTATGGCTCTTTTGCTTTAGGATACCCAAGTAATGTTTGTAAACCTGATGTACTTATCCTGGTCTCTAGAGGGCAGCCCTTTGTGAAAATGCAATCACATATTGTTTAGCATGGTTTCTATAGCAGCTTACAAAGTCTAGTTGGAAAGTACAACAAAACTGGGGCCCTGGCTTAATGTTTTTGAAGTTATAATTTGTCTTCTAAACAAGTTTAATTTGTTTTAGCTAGGTACCGACCTTTGACACGCCAATGTTGGGTTGCATTATGAACGTCAACTGCACAATGCCTGCTCTGCCACTGTGGTCAGTTTGTAACCATTCAAGTTGCACCGAGTCAAGTGAATAAGACTTTGTAGGTTTTCCATCTCAAACCCTTCATGTGCTACAAAACCTTTATAGTAAGTGCCTTATTGTACTTCACTCAAGGGAATTTGCCCTCCACCACCTTTAGAAGCTGTTGTGCCATTTGTAAACCAACTATTTGCCTGACTGTAAAAGAGTGGGTTACTGGGCGTTTACGCACCTCTCATCAATGTCTTCTTTTGCAAACAAGGGCTCAAATGGCACAGCGAGAGATAATCTGTGCATTAGATATACAAACATTATTTGACAATAGAGGCTTGCTAGAATACGTTTTCAATGCTTGGTTATGTGATTCCACTTTACTGAAGGAGTGATAGGCAATGTTTAAACCCATTCTAAACTTGTCTAGCTTATACCAAAATGTCAATCTCTGCTATTCATATCTTGCCGTCTAATTGCAAGGACAGTTATTATTGATGACGGTCCTGGTGTCATCTGTTTAAGATTCCTTTCTTAAACCTAAAACGGATAAGGTGTCATAGGGCGGTGTGAGCTAAGCTTGGAGGTGTTTCTTACCATTCCGTACACTGCACATTAGTCCTGAGACATACATTTACATTTTAGTCATTTAGCAGACGCTCTTATCCAGAGCGACTTACAGGAGCAATGCTTATATAACTAGGCCAGAATGCTTGTTTTAGTTTTACCATAGTAGTGGTTGGTGTGATGATCACCTTTGGCGGTCCAATTTATTTAACATGACTTGTTGAAAGGTGATTCCCAACTCCAGTTTTTCTTTACTTCAATTATTGAGTTTCATCAGTGAACACTACACTGAGTGTACAAAACGTTAAGAACACCTTCCTAATATTAAGTTGCACACAGATCAGCCTCAATTCATCTGGGCATGGACTCTACAAGGTGTCGAAAGCATTCCACAGGGATGCTGGCCCATGTTTACTCCAATGCTTCCCACAGTTGTCAAGTTGGTTGGATGGCCTTTGGGTGGTGGACCATTGTTGATAGACAAACTGTTGAGCATGAAAACCCCCAACAGTGTTGCAGTTCTTGACACTAACCGGTGTGCCTGGCACCTACTACCATACCCTGTTCAAAGGCACTCCAATCTTTTGTCTTGCCCATTCACCCTATGAATGGCAAACATACACAATCCATCTCTCAAATGCTTAAAAATCCTTTAACCTGTCTCCTCCCCTTCAGCTACACTGATTTTGAAGTGGATTTAACAAGTGGCAACAATAAGGGATCATAGCTTTCACCTGGATTCACCTGGTCAGTCTGTCATGGAAAGAGCAGGTGTCCTTAATGTTTTGTACACTCACTGTATTGCCAGATCATTTTAAGCTGCTGATTTGATTGATAGGCAAAATGCTAGGCATGCCTTCAGGGATGGGTGACATTTATGGGGGTGGGGGCCTAAAAAAAATCTGAACTCATGATGGGCTGCATTTGCTCACGAGTCTGCGTACCCCCCCCCCCCCCCAAAAAAAAAAATGTTGCAGTTTTAAAGCAAATTTCAATGGGGTGGAGAGAATATTTTTGCTATTTTTAATATGGTTTCTCAGCAACACAAACAAAATAAATGGGGGCCCCGGCTGGTAAATCGAACATGATACACTTACATATCTGTCCTTTTAAACTAATTTAACAATGTAAAAAAAATTGTTGCTGACATGCACTAATTGATTGACTATCAGTGACTGACATAAGAGTAAAACTGCAGCTGCACAACCAAATGTCGAAACTGCACCTTGTTTAGTCACGTATTCTAACTCGCAACGGTAAATTGAGACCCTAACTGAGTTCCTTTTTGGGGGGGGGAATTGATTCGCGGGCCTTCAAAAGTTGCCCATCCCTGCTCTGGAGGAACCATGCATAAAAAGACAAACCACTATCTTCAAGGTTATAAGCCATCTGTTTTAGCAAGCCACAAAGCTGTGTAAAGCAGACATGAATGTCGTTTATTTTTCTCCACAAGGTTGGGAGTTAGAGGACGAATCTGCCTGTGGTCGGGTAGGTAGACTGTCCAATCTTTATTGTACTGAAAGTTACATGTCTGGATTACTGGAAACGGACCCTTTTCACTAAGTGTTCGAGTCACTTAAACTAATGTTCATCTGGAATAGCAGTTGTGACCTGAAGTGTAAAAGCAGGATGGTTTCCATGCTCTTAGGTAGTTTGACTTTTATGTTTCATATTGATCAGGGTTAAGCAACAAGAATCACATACATGAATGTTGATCGGAAGCTTGCACATAAACGCAATACAGTGTATATATTTTTTCGTAGTTTGCAAAAAATATTATCCTGTTGTGCATGACCAATTTTGTAATTTCCATCGTGTTTTGTTCCCTGTGCTAGGATTATGTTGTATATTTTACCCTCGTTTCTTTTACCCTAAACATTTTGGAATAAAAAATAAAATACTTCAATGGATTTCAGTGTTTTTTATTTCACATGTCGCCTATTTGCTACCACGGTGAAGTTTGTACATTTTGTTGTCAAGATAATAAATAGCCCGCATTTGAAACAATTGCGTAAACGCGCACGAAAAAATGTGGTATATACCGGTATCCATCTAACGATACATAGAGACGAGATTGAGTCTGCCCTGGTCACACATGCGCCCTCCCTCACGCGTACTAGATGCACATAAGAGTGAATAGGCGCTCTTCTCTTGAGCATGATGCGAGGTACTGTATCACCTATGTAGGATTACGGTGCTGAGGCAGGTAGCAAAGTAGCTGTGCTCAGCAAACGGATTGTAACATTTGGACGCGGAGTTTTACCTGTTTCAACCACGTTTTTCTGAGTTGAGCGGCCTGAGCAGAATGGTATCGCTCGTGAATTACGCGTGTCTTTTCTTGCCTGTTGCTCTCCATTTGAGTAAGTGTTTACTTTTAGAAATGTAGATTTTTCTATAGAAATAACACTTTGTTTAATTTGTTCGTACTATGTTGGGGGTTCTCAAGTGGCATTTATTAAATGCATCTCGTAATTATGGGAGAACGAGTCGCGCGAAAGTGGACACGGAAAAGGTTCCAATTCCACATTTTATCGGTGCCTAGGGACGAAATGAGTGAGTTAGAATATATTAAATGTTTGAATGGAAAATGAATTTGCTGACGTGGGAGAAACTAGATTACGGATTTAAATTAAATGATTGCAATGAGATGAGGCAACATACTTTAGTTTCAAGTAAACAATTGACTGTTTTGTTTTTTTACACTCTTGACCATATTATTAGGGTAACGTGGGTAATTAGCCCCCCTAAGAACAATGTCCAATTGCTGACAAAAAAAAGCAAAGTTTGGTGAAAATGTGGATGATGGTCATGTTTAGGCAAACAAACTATTGGGGGGGGCAGTTACCCCTGGAGGCTAGTTACCCTATAGTGTACTGTATGGGTATATAGATTTGAATTCACATGCACTTTGTTATTGGGTACCGGATAGCCTAGCCTACCACACTAGATCGCCACGCGTAGTCGAAGCGTCAATGTGTGTTGTGTCAGAATGAATAAAACATTCTAGATGAAAAAAGTGCGCTGTCTAGTTCTCATAATAGCCTATGCATTATATTGGCTTATCTGTATTCTGTAATGGTTGTATGCTTTCTCAGGACAACTGAAACGGCCACCTTGATTCCTTCTTCTTATTCCTCACTAAGGAGGGTGCTGATGTAATAGCCTACAATTCATTGGGGAATTTAATAGGGAAAACATTCTGATGGAAATAAATCATGAATGAATCTCATCTGCTTTACCCTGATAGACCCTTCTGAGAGTAGCCCAGTATCTCATCTAAACATGTGAGCCTCTGGATGCACAAGGATTAGATAGTCCTCCTTTCGGTCAGTGCTGATCAGAGCAATCCCTCAGCCCAAACTGTTATTTTCGGGTCAAACTTATGTGTAAAAAATTAAAATCATATTTAATTGATGCACACACACCACAACCTTTGGAATCTCATACTAAGATGCTGCTCTCTTCTCTTTCTCCTCTCTTCTCTCTCTCTCCCCCCCAGAAGTTATGCCTATGTGGTTTGAAAGTGGTCTAAAGGTATTTCACTGCAGTACACAGGCATATGGAGCAGACATGAATTCCTAATTAAACCAGGTTCAGGCTCTCTAGGAGAATTGCATCCACTTGATCCTTTCCTCTCTCTGTTCATGGCTGTTCATTACTGATCTTTATTTCCCCATGATAATTCATGGTTCACACCCATTCTCACACCAACCATGTCCTTCTCATTTTCACAATTTCACAATTAAGTGAGGCAATATAAAGTGCCTCTCCTGAATCCTTTGTTTGCCAATGAAGCTTCTGGTTTGGTTGCTGAAGTTTACAGTCATTAAGGAGCATACAGGGAGGCATGGAGAGGAATTTAATTTCTCCACCTGAATTGTGCATATGATTCATAAGACACAGCCACTCTAAGCTCTCCACACACATCTTCACATCAGCCATGCCCCAATAATTACCCTGCTCCCCATCTCATCTCTCCAGCAGGAACTTAGTGTGGTGTGGAGTCCTTAAACAAACGCTGTGAAATGAAACAGCAGCTGAGCGTGACACCCCTCAACTCTTCACCCTCAGCCAAGGCTGAGAATGAATATTTCTGGGTAGACCAACATACTTCTGTTCTGAGGAGTTACAGGAACTTGTGTCCTCTAGTACTAATGAGTCGTGTGTGGTTGTGTTCATAAAGGGCTATTGAGGAAGAAGAGAACTCCATTGGCTCCCATTGGCCCAAGGTCAGTGCAGCTTATGTCCTTGGTGCTTTGTTCTGTGTAGGTAGCAGATTCTATGGTTGCCCACTTGGGATGGGGGGGGTCTAGGATCAATGGAAGACACATTGTCCCCGGTGACTGTATCCTGCAATGCCACCTTGAGAAATAGCTCCCACGGGAATTCCAGGAATATGATAAATCGCCCTCAGTGATGTATGGAATATGTAAAATATTTGCAACAGATCGTGAGTCATAGTAATAGTGATAATCATCATCAGCAAAGCAAGCCTATTATTATCATCTTTACTATGCATGTACACTAACTTGCACTTCATGAACTCTAACTAAGTCATAAGAAGTACTGTAAGTAAGAATTGCCAGTGGTAAACGTTGGTTGTTTGAACAGAACATGAGTGTTCAGTGGCGTGTATTCATGGATACCAAGGGAAGCCAGGCTTCCCCAAAAAATTGACTAAGAAAAAATAAAAACGTGTTTCATAATTTTCCTTCTATTCTCAAGAGGCTGAATGTATCTCACCGGAGAAAGCATCCAAGCAGGCGAAACAGTGCCCCTCTGTCTCTGTGTAGGCCATCTATCTGATGCTGTCTGGTCCAAAAGAGTATGTCATTGTTGCCGCCCGTAGCATTGAATGCAAGGGAAGCCAGCGAGCATTTGGCCTCCCTTGATAAAAAAAAGCATAAAATAATAGCCAATCAGCGTTGCGCTAAACTGAGTGACGTCAACTATGAATGGTCCTGGCGCACCCAAAAAAAGTGTCAAGGGAAGCCAGTTTGGATTTGGCGTCACTCCTATCAAATCGCATTGAGAGCATACATCATTGACAGAAACAACTTGAATTGTTGCATCTCGTTGTTAACTAGCTAACGTTGCCCATGAAAGGAAGATAGGCTAGCGAAGAAGCATTTTAGCCAGGTAACCTAGTACAACAAAAAATAAAAACATTATGACAGAGTGATAGACCGTTCTGTCAACATGAAAAAGAGGAGGATGGCATTGGCGTTTCTCGAGAAGTACTGTAGGGTGAGTCAACATGTTTTTTCTACTTGCATGAACATCCACTCACACACATACACAGAAATCAGAACCATGGACAGCCACATCATATTTAGCTTACATTGATTGGACTAAATAGTTTTTGGTTTCTTTTAGTTGTCACTGTATTAGACTAAGCATAGGTGATTTGATAATGTTGATGTTGAAATGGTGCTGGAATAGTGGAGGCGGCTACTGTTTTCTTTGCGACTTGCGGTAACTCTCTGTGGTTCTAAATCAATAGTTGTTTAGTGGTCCGAAAATGTCGTAAACATTAACTTGCTTGACCATGCTGTAGGTCATGTAACTGTTTGTTACATGCAATATGCTTTGTGGACTTCACCGGACAGAGGTTGCTCTCTGGTTTTGTGATGAAATAAAGGTGTGGTTGGATTTATTCTGCCACTGTGTCTTCTTATTGTCTCAGCCTTTAGGCCTATATATCACAGTCGCAAGGCATATGAGCTAACAGGTTAAAGAGCAAACAACGCAATTATCACAACACAGGTTGTAATATGGCTTTTTTTCTGGCTTCGGCAGTGATTTTACCCACGCACCGCTACTGTGAGTGTTCACTGTGATTATACTTGCCACACTAACTCATTCATCTTGTCTGTTGTCAATGGGTGAAATGAGTAAGAGCGGAGGTAACACTGCCCTGCAGTGAGAGGATCGTTGTGTCCTTTTGGTGTGACGTGTTTGCCTGCTGTGGGGCTTATAGTAGAAACTCAGAGAGAGGCATATTGATTGGAAACTCTCAGTTCTCTTTGAGAGAAATGAAAAGAGAATCAAAGAAAAAAGAAAATCTAAACCCTGATTTGCTCTCTTGCTTCAAAGATGTGAAGGTGAGGAAAATATTAATATAGCTGTCAACTTCAGTAGATCACACCTAGCTCCTTTGCAACTGTAACACCAGTGTTACATTAGTGTATACACCCTTATGTAAAACAAGGGAAATTGTGTTTCCATTGCTAGGACTGACAGTGATGACTTGTGAAGGACAGAATTCACAACCTCTGCATAAACAGTTGCTTTGTGAGAAGATCTCTAAAGTTCACAGTTAGTCATTGTTATGTGAATGCTAGCTAAAAGTACCAGTGGCCTGGCTTTGGCCCCATGTGAGAGAAGGTCCGCCGGAGCCATGGCCCAGTGAGACACGAATGCCGGCCCGCGTAGATGGAAACAGAAAAGTCTGAGCCTTTTGGCTAAAACACTGGTAAACCCTGTATGGAAATACACCAACTACCGAGTATGCACAACTCACTCATCTGCTCTGACATTTACATTACATTTACATTTACGTCATTTAGCAGACGCTCTTATCCAGAGCGACTTACAAATTGGTGCATTCACCTTATAGCCAGTGGGATAACCACTTAACAATGTTTATTTTTTTTATATATTTTTTTTTTGGGGGGGGGTAAGGGGGGGTAGAAGGATTACTTTATCCTATCCCAGGTATTCCTTAAAGAGGTGGGGTTTCAAATGTCTCCGGAAGGTGGTGAGTGACTCCGCTGTCCTGGCGTCGTGAGGGAGCTTGTTCCACCATTGGGGTGCCAGAGCAGCGAATAGTTTTGACTAGGCTGAGCGGGAACTGTGCTTCCGCAGAGGAAGGGGAG